CACCAAATACAACATCAGTACTCCAACCACTGGACCAAGGAATCATTTATAGTTTTAAGGTTAATGTTTTATGTTAGCGTATTTGTGTTATAAGGTAGAAAGTTTTAAAGTTTTAAAGTAAATATCTCGTTTATTAGGCGCAATATAGGAAAATCTTATGTAGGGAGAAAATCTTAACGTACGAGCGGCTGTCAAATGAAAATGACGATATTCCTCAAATAACGATTTACGATGCAATTCACTTCGTCGCTCGTGCGTGGGATAATGTAACACAAAGAACGATATGCCACAGTTGGCAAAGAAGTGGAATTTTACCTTTGCATCAGTTAAGCGACAATGAAGAGCAAGGGGGAGACAGCAATGGTTGCGATGAAAAACAACAGTTGGAGAATGATTTAACTGATTTAATTGTCCAGCTTCCTATTTCGGAACCTCTTTCCGCTGATGAGTATATTCGTTGTGACGATAATGAGGAATATGGGGAAGAGGCAAGCGTTAAAGATATTGTTGACGTTGTAAATGGGGTGGGAGCAGTAGATGAGTCAGACTCGGAATTGAAAAAAGAGGTTTCCACCAGCAACGCATTAGAATGTATCACAACTCTCATTGATTTTATTAATCAAAACGATTATGAGATAGACGCTAGTTGCATGTACAGTTTGAACAAATTGAAGAGAGCAGTAATCCTAAAAAACATAATGAAAAAGAAACAAACGAATCTTGATCAATTTCTTGTCTTTGATTACTGACAAATATATACTTTTACCGTGTACATTGACAAACTTAATAAATATCAAGTAATAAATAAAAACCGTTATATCAAACATTTTCTGAGCTTGCTATATCGGATTTTCGGTAAAACGGATTGTCACGATATAACGGTTTTGGTGCCTGTCCCGACGAATCCGTTATATCGACTTTCACTGTGTATACGGTGAAGAATACATGAATAATAGTATCACGTGAACGGGTGTTACTGTAAATGCACCATTTGCATTGTTCTCTAAATGCACAGTTCCAAACTCTCAGTCTCGAGGGTGCATTTAGGGAGTTGAGAGTGCTAAACTATCTCCCTTATCAATTTAGTAAATCGAAGCGTTACCAATTCTAGTAGGGGTACGGACGAGAGCATCCATAAACAATTACAGTACCGAGTAACTTCACTGCCGATAAATCACTCGAGCCCGTAATCATTTAAAAATTTAGAACACACCTTTCGGAGCGCGTCGTGAGCAAGCAACAGTCATACAAAGACAGCGACAGGGATGCAGTGACGTCAGTGCTAAAATAATCTTGCAGACGTCGAAGAGTACTTGATAGGTTCTGACTCGTTTTTTTACAACGGCGCACATTAACTGGTCACATATAACCATATGGACAATTTGACATTCCAGCAGTAGTTATTTCAAGTAAGTAAACTCACAATAGTAATAGTTTTGGGGGAAAAAAATTGTCTCATAATTGGAAATTTCTGTAATACTGTATTCAGATGCAACAACAAAAATGTATACGAGTTTAGGGAATATCGATATATCACATGCCCGTAGACAAGCTAAATGCATATCCCTATTGTCAAAGACTGAGCTTAATTCATCACATAATGCTACTGCCATACGACTTCGTGCAGCTGCAATAGATTGCTTTCACTCATGTAATATTGAGGGCAATTACAGAACTACAGCTGTTTACAACACGCGATGGCAGTTCGTAACCTCCTGATATTTCTAATTTTCTCAAGGAAAAACAGACGATCCTGCATAAAGAAAGCGGGATCCTACAAAAACAGAGGTTGATCGAGTTGACAACATCGATGGTTTCCACGCCAACAAAGCGGCGACCCAAGCGATCAAAAAGGATAGACAGTAGTTTCATTCCTAACTATCCATTTAGTTAAATGCGAGTATACTATATACCAGTTTAAACGTAACATTTATTCAGATAATACAAAGTGATATCTGAAATCTTGAGAAAGAACATGTTGTAATAAACCTTAGTGTCACGTCTCCATTGTCTTTCGCATTTGTGTAGGTGCCATTTAGCCGATCAAAACTCTGTTTCCCAAATCACCATGTTTCAAACCGAGTTAGCAATGTCGAACTGGTGTAGCTCTGACAATATTATCCTAAAATATATGGTTAGTAAGATAACCATCTTATTGTTCAGATCAATGTAGCACGTGTTCAGATATCACACTCATTACTAATTTTGTCCAATTTCTTCTTGACGAACTTACTGCGCAAGTCTAATTAGTTTGACGTTTCTATTTGAACTCGCGATAATCCTGTACATTTAGCATACAATGTGACATGTTTTCCTCTATTGTTATTTTGCAGGGCTCCTTTTCACTTACCCTGTTCACGACGATATGATGTCATTTGATACCACAAATGCTTTCTGGCAAAGAGATGTTGTGCTCCCTGCAGTTAAAGTTAAATACAATATACAAAGCGGTCTGTTTCAGAGCTCGATTGGTTGCTTTAAAAACGGCTTCTAGCTGATAATCGCAGCATTTAAATAGAGAACAAGTTGTTTATTATTTGTACATGGTAAGAAAACTGAACCTGTCAGTCTATGATACTAAGAATTAAGGTTGAGATGGATGGATCAATAAATAAATAATACTACAGATGACTATTCGCAACGAGAATAATGCTATCATTTTTTGGAGGTCTACAATAAATTACTTTATCAACTATCTCCTAAATATTATTCCTTGTATACAGATTCAACATCGTTAGGCTTGTTATTGTTCTTCAACCCATGTCTCAATTGTTCTTTAGATAACTTAATCATCATTGGAACCATGGTCAATTCCACACTAATAGCAATAGCAAAGAAGAATACACTTGCTGTTCCGTCCGGCAATACAGCTCTCATAATTCTAGCAAATGTAGTCACTACCATTCCTATAATCGCATATTCTATGCTGACATGTAAAAATCTTCTCAATTTCACAGCATGATCGTTAGTTGGTCCATAGATATGGCCCGTGGTCAGTAACCCCCTTTCGCGTAGATGTGATATTGCTACGTGTGACATGTATCCATACCAAACAACGCTTACGATTGCGAACAATATGTTGAATATCTGTCGACGAAGGGCTACATTCTTCAACAAATAATATTGGTTCAGTCCTATCGCCGTTTCGCGGGGCTCGTCTACAACCGCAAAAAGCACAATTTTTGTTATAGCTGTGATTCCCCACATGATTCGTGTCGTCAATATACTCTTGCTGTACGGCACGATTCTTAGGAACAGTATCACATCGTTTATCGTAAATGCGATTATGTTGGTCACCAGGATTAACGATGTAATTGCTACTTGAGACGAATCGGGTAGAGACCAGTCGCATAGACCAACTATTAAACGAAAGATGCTAAAGATGCAGCCGGTCAAGGTGATGAGGAGAAGTCTGGAGCGCGAGTAGTACCAGTATGAGCATATGTGGAGAAATATCGTTATTAGGAGAAGAAGAGCGCCGCCAAAGATAGCAGAGACGAGAGAAAGGAGAGGGAGGCTGGATGCTGGTATGTCAACTACCTGAGGCATCTTTGTTGTGGTCTGTTGTGATTTTTTCCAGAGTGGTGCTGATATGTTGGTAATATGTCGTTAAAAGTCGTGGTTGTTAAATGTGGCTTATTCTCGTTGTTTGAATGAATTCCCTCGGTCTTTGTATTAAATGAGCGAGATATTATTAGTAATAATGATTATGAGATAGTTTATTGATGAATAAAATGTTGGGTCAGTCTGCTATTATATACTTGTACACGGGTACATTCGGTAATACATCCTACCTTAACTGTGTGGTTATGTCTTCAAATAGACTTCTAGTGGTTGAATCTCATATTCTTTGTCGTCTGTTTGTGGATGAATTTCGCTTATTTGTCCGAATACTTGGTTGACTTTATATGTATTGTAAATCGTGTGCATACAAGATGTAAATAGAAATGAGCGCACTTTTCTTTCTTTGTATGAAACACAAGGGAGATGTTATTTCTAGGCATGTTATAGAATGCTATGCTTCTAAGTATAGACTGATTAACCCTTGCCTAGTTTATCAGCCAATCATTGCATTTCGTATTGGAAATAATATTAACATACCTTTGTGCGTACCTATTGTGACGAAAATGCTGTCTTATGTTTTATGGCAGATCAATAATTATTTTACCAGGTCAGCAGACCGAAGCAGCAAGTATGCAAGCTGCACCAAGTGCGCTTACGCTATCTGATGTTATGTGTCGTTTGGCATACGAAGAAGAAGAACACATACATGTATGTAGAGACAGTAATAGTAATAATACAGTATGTACAGTATCTTCGTTTCCGTTGTTGTTGAAAAGGAGAGTAAGATGATCAAGGCTTTGCACATTCTCTCGTTGTGGGTAATGAGTTTTATATGTGTCATGCAAATGTTTCAAAGTGCATTGGGATAAATTAAATTGGATAAACTAATATCAGATTACCCGTCTAGCATTAGTTTACTGCGCCATGTTCTAAATGTAGTATTCTATTAGTATTAGTATTAATATATTAGTAAACCGCAAAATCCGATTTGTCAGCTTTTTTCCCTTTTTTTCGCTTGTATAACCATGAATGCATACAATTATGGAAGAGAAGGCGTGGATAATTGTTCAGATGAAACAATACAAAAGTGAATTTAGACCCGCCCGAGTTCAACGATGGAATATATCGGTAACCACATTAATAAATAACACTCGTTGCCATAATAATAATCGGAATACCGGAACAAACGGGTGACATTTTGTTGTAAATAAATTCTTACTGACTGGTCGTCCAAAGCTCAAGAATTACAGAGAATTAACCAAATATATGCATTAATAACATTCCTTATTAATATTCGAACGCAATAATAATAATCAAAGAATGATATTTATTGCATTTAATTATTTTTGTCGCAATATAAACTTCCAAGGGCTGCTGCTGGTTCTCTTTTTTTAACTAAACTTATCATCACTAGTGATTGGTACGTAATTAATGACTTATTCATCAAGTTTCCCGGTAAATAATTGATAGTGCATTAATGCTTACAAAAGTTCATTTCAGATCGGTATCCCTAACTTCATGTAATACGTCACGCCAAATGACGTCTTTTTCAAGACGGGTCATGGCAAGACAAACTTGCTTAACTAAGTTTTACGCATTTGTAATTACTAATAATTTAATTATGTAGTCGTACTGTACGCAGCGCAATGGGTGACGTACCGTGCGCTGCTATTATTGTATCTGCTTTGACGGAAAGACGTAATCTAAAAAAAGTCTTCACATGACCTGGAATACATTTTGATTAATTGCATAATTGATCCCGTAATTCGAATTACAGATTTTTTTTACCGTCTTCCGAAATTCGAGTGTAAGGGAAAGTTTTATTGTTCGCATAAATCTGAACAATGGTATCTTTACGTTCAAGCCATTCTAGTTGCTGTATAACGTAAACTCGTACTGTGACATCAGAAAAGTACAACCAATCAGCTTCAAATATATAAATTGTAGCGCAGTTTAAATAAATGATAGGTATTTAGACCCCTGATAACCAAACTTTATATATTTACATATGCAGTATCTTGACAAGCCACAGCTCTCAATTTAATCTAAGTCAAATGAATGTCGTTATAATAAACACGGTAACCGTGTCCTTTGTCTACAGTGACATAAAATATCTGCAATCATATAAAATGGTCTAATTATTTAACATATACAGTCAACCCTCTTTATAATCACTTCCTCTATAAGCACATCATATAGAAACCTTTTTATCAGCACACTATGTTTGAGAACCAATTACTATTGAACTTATAGAAAAAAAAACCCTCTATATAGTCACACCTCTTTATAAGCACATTTTCAACAAAAGCTGTATTGTGTAACTATAGAGAGGTCGACTGTAATATACTCTTTAGTTTACCAAGTCACGTTTCCAAAGATGAAAAAACTCGCCTCTATTATAGACAGCCAATTCTCCGTGTCTTTTTAAATAAAGACCTTTTATCATTATCGCTAATCAAAATTTCTCAAGTGGGGGAATAAAACCTAGCTTTTTATCCAATTATAGAAGTTATTTGTAAGTAAGTACGTTGATACTCAAGCAGCGTAGTAATACTGCTTGTCCGCCTGCGCACGGCTCGAGTAATTACTGCTTGTTCGCCAGTGTCTTATGCTCAAATACAAACATTTTTTTGCAAAATTACAATTAACAACGTTAGCATTAGGGTATGAACTCTTCTGATTGTTAACACGCGATAGTAGTCTTTAAATTGTCTTTCAGGATTTGACAAGGTCAGAAATCCAGATATTGACTTGTCAAAAAAAGAAAAGAAATTCGTAGCCATAAAATCTCCCGTGTTTGGCGTGTAAATCCGTTACCAAAAAATTTAATTGTATTAGTATAGAAGGTAATTGAAGAGAATATGAAACAACACCTTTGCACAAGTCTTGGAAAATACTGGTCAAACCCAAATTAAATTTTAATTCTGTAGCATCATCTTTTTAGGAGGAATTGCTTTTGCTTGAAAGATGACATTCCGATCCGAGAAAGGATAAGCTATTATAGCGCGGATTTCATCGAAAGTTATTGGTAAAGTGATGACTGTCTAGTGCTTTCGAAAAAAATAAGCAAGTAACTGTGGCAATGCAATGAATAGATGAGATCATTTGACATTGATATTTTTTATTGATAACATCCCAATGGCAAGCAAAGAATCCTTTTGATCGAATAGATAAACAGCTCTGATCCCTGATTACAGCATCTACGTTAATCACCATTTGTTTTAAAAAGGGACATGATTTTTTGAGTTAGTAAAAGATTGGGAAACAGAAAATAAAAAGGGTATTTATATTACAATTACCGCAAGGTCCGGTAATAGTAATATGAACCCAAAATAGCTATCACTGCGTCCGTTTAGTTTTATATAAGAACACATCCCATTTGATTAGGCTTAATAATAATAGTTGGAGTATTCCAATGATTAATAGTTAACTCGACTGGTTTGCAATTATGCATAACCTGAAAAAAGGTTTTAATAATTCATTAAATAATTTACGACATGAGAGGGGGGGGGGGGAATCGACCGAATACTAAATTATCATCATGGTACTTATTCTAGCGTCAACGAGAACCAGACACTAGTCCGTCGATTCGTAAAAATGTCCTTTTTTGAATGCCTCTTCGCCGACTGCACCGTATCGTCCCGAGCGTGTCATCCATCACTCTATTGTCAGATTCACCAACGACACATCTATAGACTGATCCTCGGCAGAGGGTTGTCCAACACTGATCAATTGACCCAACTCTGTGAATTCACTCAACTCTGCATCTCGCACAATTACGGAATCACCTTCTCTCCTCTCATCACCATTCCTAATATCTCCATCCCCACCTGCATTCACGTCTATATGAACCAAAACATCCCTATTCTCGTTTCCATGATTTCTTTCCTCCCCGTCCTCTCTAACGACGTCCTCGTATTTAGGCGGTTCATCGGAATAATATCCGTAACCTCCTGCTCCCTCTCTTCTTTCGTTCTCCTCGTCCTCAACAGCCATCATGTAACTCTCGTCGTCTGGGCTGTATTGATACACATAAACCACTCGTTCCTCTTGGTTGCCATATCGAAGCGGAAAGCCGTTGTAGTCGCGGCGACATATTCGTCGGCATAGACAACAACAAAAAGTAGGGAGTGCGACAAGTAAAGGGAACATTACAAGTGGAATGACAAGATTTAGAGACATAATGTCGTATAATGGAGTTAGAGTGTATATATGTATATATATTGCAATGTGTGTATATGTGTATTATGCTTTGACAGTGTATGTAAAAATAGGCTATATGCACAATATGTTCTAGCAGTCGTATCCAAACAATTTAGGGAAAGGCTTTATTTTCTACTGAATCTGGAGAAGCTCGTATTGAGATGCTATCTAACGCCTTTGGTTAGACCTCTCTTCTAATTTGGTTTTTGTAAAAAAATCCACTCACGAAAAGCTGTCAATCCTTTATAAACTATTTGTGTATTCTTTCATGACACTTTTCTTTGATGATTATACGCAAGCCCTATATTACGTTTGTCCCCTTGCCCCAGTTTTGAGTGTCCACAATAACGATAACAATAGCATACATTCTCCATATCTGGCAATGAAGAATAAATAAACTATTCTGAGATTTCCTAATTCAGTGTATTAGTCCGACAATGAAATGACGATGGTGTAACAGGACTACAGCCACTCATTTGATGAGGAACAGGAATGGGCACGCGTTTTGGGGATCGATACGGAAAAGAACACACATAAATTAAATAAAGTTTCATTTCCATATAACCAGTAATTTTCTAGGCTCGAGTATTATGACCATTAGTGTGAGATCTCAATTCATATATAATGTCTATATTTCGTGAGGATTTCGCTATTACTATCAACTGTTCGGCTCTCACAGTCACTCTTCACTATATTTATGGCTTGTTTACTATTCAGCATTAATAATCATGTCTTCTAAATAGGCCACCAATATTGGATTTACTGTAAAGATACCCAGAAAGTGAAGATCAATATACCAAGAACATGCAAGGGGGGCTGCTGATAAAACACAAGCTCTTATTCTTCCTGTTGAATTCGTGGTAACCAAGCCAAAGACTGCGCATGATAATCATTTGTTCGCCGTATTAGAAGTCTTGGATAAGAACAAATAAATAAACGTGCATCTAATACAAGTGTTGCTTTTCATTAACTACGGGATCATATGAAAGCATGTTTTTACCACCCCTTAGTTATAGTGCTGAAACGCCATGATGATACAACAAGGTATTGACTCTTTTTCAGCCTCAAAGTTTCATCTTCTGTGATGCCTGATTTGTTTGAAATCCATTTCGTTGGTTTGTGTGTATATTATAATTACAACTTTTAATTGCGTATTAAACGCGGACAACGTATTATCAGAATGTTTCATGAAGCGTGATTTATACCGAGCTAAAGCAAGGGTCCAACCCAAAATCTATTATACGTAAATAACATTAATGATATATTTCTACGAACAAATTAACATGAAACAAAGTGGAAACATTGCACGTCTTTAATGCACAATACCAAGTAAAGATCATTTTAAACAGTGCTAGTCAAGATCGAAACTGTCAGATTTGCGTGAACTAGTTAATGCTATTCTGCTGACTATAGACAAGCGATACACTTATACTTGGAGCTGACAAAAGAGACGAACAATATTGGAAGAATGTCTTAAATTAAAATAATGTGCGCGCAATTTTTGCATCATTCCCATCTTACCAACGGCCTTGAAAATACTGTGCACCACGTCAATTGAAGACATGGGGTCTTCATGAATATTAATTTGATCGTTCCCATATTGACTGCTACTTTTTTATTTCCTCCACTGCTACTTTTTTTATTTTCTACTAGCGAATCAAAAGATCATCGCCGTAGGCCCTCAGGTATTCTTTTCATTCACGCCTAAACAGACTTTGTGATTGTTATAATGAACTATATAACTGTAACAGCTCGTTGTAGTTGTATATGTGGTTATATATGAATAATCATATACAGCTTTCTTAATATTAATTAATAAATCCGGTACTTCTGTGTATTTTACTTTGGCCGTCACGGTCTATGCATATAACCGACGAGTAAGCACATTACATCCACTTGTATTTAAAGTTCCTAGTTTATTGTAAATACATACAGGTCATAGCAACCAAATAAGAAAAAAAAAATTTACTACAACAAAGATATAGATTATAATACACCACACACAGAATTCGACTACCATCACTGTATAATATCGAATGTCATTCTTTACAATTCAATAAGCAACGGAGTTTCCTTTCTGGGTTCTTGCTTCGTAATAGAAAGAGGGTAAGATTGTTCTGACTGGTATGATTGTTGATGATAGCCATTGGACTGCTGCGAAAGAGGTTGTGATTGATCTAGCTGATATGAATGTTGCTGTTGATAGCCATTAGCTTGTTGCTGAAGAGGTTGTGATTGTTCTGGTTGATATAACTGTTGCTGTTGATAGCCATTGGCCTGCTGCAGAGGAGGTTGCAATTGTTCTGGTTGATATAGCTGTTGCTGTTGGTAGCTGTTGGCCTGCTGCTGCTGAGGAGGTTGCGATTGTTCTGGTTGATATAGCTGTTGCTGTTGGTAGCCATTGGCTTGCTGCGGCTGCGATGGTTGTGATTGCTCTGGCTGATATTGCTGTTGGTAGCTGTTGGCCTGCTGCTGTTGAGCAGGTTGCGATTGTTCTGGTTTATATAACTGTTGCTGTTGGTAGCCATTAGCTTGCTGCGGCTGCGATGGTTGTGATTGCTCTGGCTGATATAGTTGTTGCTGTTGGTAGCTGTTGGCCTGCTGCTGCTGAGCAGGTTGTACTTGTTCCGGTTGATATATCTGCTGGGAAAGAGGTTGCTGAGGAGGTTGCTGCTGAGAAGGTTGCGGAGTAGGCTGCTGTTGAGGAGGTTGTTGTTCTTGTTGCTGCTGTTCTTGTTGTTGAGGAAGGTGTTGGGTGAATCTGTGTAGCAGAAGAGAAATATACGTAAGTTATCTGACATATACATGGAGCAAATCATCGACTTTTATTAACGCTCACCCAGTAAAACCCTGTCCATTATATCCGCCAACACTCCCCTGAGGAGTATATACTTGCTGCTGTTGTTGTGGTTGCTGCTGTGGTAATGGCGGTTGTTGATGTGGTAATGGCGGTTGTGATTGTGGTAATGGCGGTTGTTGTTGTTGTGATTGTGGTGGTGGTTGCTGATGTCCATTTGCATACTCCGCCTGTCTAACACCACTATCTACGTTTTGCCCATATCCACCTTGGCTAGCAGAATATCCATATGAATACTGCGGCTGACTTGCCGAATAACCAGTTTGCTGTCCTGATATCATCCCTTGTTGCATGTCGTGCTGTTCCTGAATAAATTGCTGTCTTGCTCTCCCATCGCCAAATTCACTTCCCGCATACTGGGTTGGATTAACAGTCTGATGATAATATGTAGGTGACGGAGCAGGCGCAGAGGCCAATGGATATGACGTGTTATGGGAGGGAGTGATCGAAGGATAGGTAGGCGCCGTAGAAGGCGGGACTGTGAGCGAAGGTGAGATAGTGCGGAGGGTGGGTTGGGAGTACACTGATGTGCGACGCATGTAAGCTGATGACAGGCGTTGTTCAAGGAGACTGTCATAGAGTTTTACAACTTGAGCGAGTTTATCGTGCATATCAGCTAGCTCCTCTGTATTTTCGGAGAATAGCAAATGAGTATATATAGTTTGGGGAAACAAAGTAGCAAAGAGAAAGCGCTGTATACTTACGGTGTTTTTGTATCGCTTCAGAGAGTGATTTAGTTAATTTTGGTTTAAGCTCACCAATTCTATCATACAAATCCTGCCAGGTTAGAAGAATAGAACGTTAAAGTGTCGAGACTTACATTCCTTTTCTGTTAACTATCTACCCACAAATGTTTTTACAATATACTAACCTGAACTTGTCGGTCCCGCATCAAATCTCCTCCCGTATATTGCAACCGATCAACCAGGTCTGTGAACTGATAAATATTCTCCGTTTCTAAAGGCGTCAGCTCATTTGCCGAATGTACTACCGAATTATTCGAGAAACTACTCTCATACGTTGTTGATTTCGGTTTGTATCCTCCGATTCCATATTGACTTTGCCTCTTCTGATTATTCTCCATGTCTTTCAATGATGCTGCAATAGCAGCAGCCAACTCTTTATCTTCCTCTTCAGCAGCCTTCTTCTCTTCTTTCTTAACTTCTGGCTTTTTTTGGGGTGGTGATGTGTATCGACCACGTGACGATTCGGCTTCTTTGAGTGAGAGTTCAATGGCTTTCTTGATGTCTTCATCGTCTTCATCTTCCGAGAAGTGTGATTTGCTCGCAGGAGCGGAAATCGTTGGCGGTAATAAATAGGGTTTGGTGATATTTGGGGATAGGTCGAGGCTAGCACTATGAAGACGTAATTCTTTTTGTTAAAAACTGCGATAAAACATAAATAGTATTGGGGCTAATACTATTTGGAATCTTTCAAATCCAAGCGTTTCTTGCCATACCATCACTGCTTACCTCCTGTTTCTAAGTGTTCTTCTCATAAAGCACGAATCGCATACTCGCACAGGCTCGTTTATTCCGAAATGAGGGAGGGCTATAGTCTTTGATGAACATTCTCCACAAAATGTCTGGCCGCAATTGCGACAATGGTGTTTTCGGTTTGTTAAAGTGAAGGGCGTTCGACATCGCATACAGACATCGCTATCTGACCACTCGGGAGCCTATTTAAAAGTTTGAGGAAGAGGAGGAATGTTTGAGAACAAATGCATAAAATTGTTGCAGTAGACCTATATTATAAAAAATACTCGATTATATAGTATGATTAGAGGAGAATTATTGCTTACAGTTTCTGTGTCAATCATTACCGCCGTTGTCTTTTCTACCTTTGGGAATGGGAAGCCTTTAATTTAGCCCAAATAACGAGAAACAAATTAATACTTTGGTCAACTTGTATAGAAGTCACAGATACGGGTAGCAACTGATATTCAATCAACTCCATTCAATTACCTTCCGATTTCAACAGCCTATAAGTATCAGTCATATATTGTAGCTCAGATTTACCATCAAATGTCAATCCCCAAGATTGAACCAATGCTAGAATTTTGTTTTTAACATCTAAATTCACACCCATCTGAAAAAGGATGAAGAGAAGTAAAATCAGTCGGAAGAATTCTCATTGTTCGGTTATTAACTGAAACGGAATCTTATACGTAAACTGCATGGCACAAAATACATAATTCATACTATATACTTACGGGGGCCTTGATTATAGATACAAGGTTGTCAACAAATTCGCGAGAAGCAATTTCTATCAGGAAATGCGAGCCGCCATTCTTTACGCATGTATCAGTGAGCTAAGGAAAGAAAAGCTTGGACAGTTAACATCGGATCAAAAAATAAAACCTAGCTCAAAGAAAGTAGACTACATATAAAGTATAATTTGGATTGAAAACGAAAAAGTTTGAACATATCGCTCAGTTTTGTAGACCACCACACATTCCAGCCTATTCTCAACAATCACTTATTCACCTCTTTCTCATCCCTCCGCCAAGAACCAATGGATCAACCAATTAAATAAAATACCCACACTTAAAGCCAATAACTGCACATTCGGATTACTATGACCAATCCTTTTTTTTAGCGATCTCATGGCATCCCTGGGGTAGACGGTTTTACTGCGTATCTGGTCACTAATCTCGCAGTTGGTTGCCAAGTCTTCTTGACCTCTTGGAAGCAACTCCGAGGTTGCTTTTTCTGGATACGGGAACAGATGGGTAATTATATGATAGTTGAGTGAGTAAATAAACACACGGGTACATTTAACAGTCGGTGGATATATGCGTAGAAGGAGAAAAATTATAGAATGTCATCAGGCATTGTTTTCGTCGTATTATATACAGGAATGTAACAGAACTTACCAACAAGATCATCAAAAGGATTGGCAAACAGCCTCGATATCATGTTTACAAAGTCTTTATTCTTTGAATGATCAAATTTAAACCACGGACTTAACTATTGGATAGTAATATTTGTCGTAATTCTAAAATTTCGAGTAAAAGCAGTCAGCCAACAACTTGCTGCGCTCTTTTTATTAATTGAGTATAGCGACAAGTTACAAAAGGGGTTGAAGGAAGTATTAAGCGAATTTACGAGCTGACTGAGGAAGGCTTTTGCAATGTAGTGATCTTAAATAAGCTTGAGTCTGGTGTAATGGTGTTGCAGCTGGTTAGAATGTACTGATTACGTAGTTGCATCACCCAAGAAAGACATGCTGGGCATGCTTGTCTCGTGATCATGGCAAAAGTATCACGTGGAAACCGTGATATACACTGACGCGAACACTCCCAGGCAAAAAAGTAGATTAGACAGAAATGTCGCTAACAAGGCCTGCAAACTACGCGTATTATAATCCTCAGCTACCACCTGCATATATTCAGAGTTTAGAGAAGTGCGTAGAGAAGTTGCAGAATAGCAGTTTATTGGTATTAAGCCTGTTGTTTGTTTAAATGAAACGTGTCGAAAATAAAGATGTTAATGATTATTAGTATTAATGGAATTTATCCGCTATCTACGCTTACGCCTCTCTGCGCATATCCATACTTATATCCGGCTGATTATAATCTATATTCTCAACATCTTTCACAAACGCTCAGCTTCAAACCTCAGTTAAAAAATTGGAATACGATGCACGCGAATTCTCTCGATTGAACCAAGTGTTTCGATGCGAAAGGGTTGGTTTAAAAGGCAATTCCAATCTCATTCTCTATCATCTCAATTCATTAATATTGCTTTCCTGTTCATTGAATGTAAGCTCTCCATACCCCATTCCAACCCGTGACGTTCTTTTATCTACTTTGTTAAACAGTATTATGAGTTAGTGACAGATAAGGATATAGGCGAGGCTCAGAAAGCATTGGCTGCAGAAATAGCCCCCGAGGTGTCCCGTTTAATAGCTCAAGTTGAAGAGGAGCTGACAGTTTTGGAAATCAAAGAGAAAAAGCTTCAACTTGAGGTAATCTCTTATTTATTGTGAATTATACTACGTAATTGTAACTATATGATACACAAATCAATCGCCTACTGTGGTTTTTTTTTCCACACCTCATTCTCTGCGAATTCCCTTCATCACAATACTAGGTTGATGAACGTGAAGCTGAGCTCGAATCATCCAAACTACCTCCATCATCCTCTTTATCTGCTTCCAAAAGCCAACCTAATGTGCATCCCAACTCTCAACCAGCACAGTTGAAGAAGAAACTTAAAACTTTGAAGATGAAGAAAGAGAGATTGGCCCAATTTGTAGACAACTTGGTTGAGGACATTGCGAGAAAGGTTGGTGAATTACTGTGTAAGTGAAATGTGAGTGACGAGTATAAACAACTGAATTGTTCTTGCGTTGGCATATTATAGGAGGCTGAATTGCACCAACGGACGAGATCGACTATAGAAGTTCCAGCCATGGTTAAATATCATATTGATAGTCTTTGCAGTGAAAATGTTTATACGCACGATATGATACATCTAATACTATTATTACCAGTCGCTAACCCAGCAGCAGATAGAATCTGTTGAGAAACAAATAGACCAGCTTCAATCTCATACCGATGAACGTCGTCAAGTATTGCAAGAGAAACAGTTATCGTTTGACAAGCTGCAAGAACCAGCAGAACCTACAACTAATGACGATGGTACTCTTTATGGTAACAGCGATAGAACGCTGTTATGTGTAATATCGTAATTATTAATATTATATTATTATCGCAGCTCTACTCACTGTTATCTTTCACGCCTTAGCTGACAAGAGATGGAAAGAGTACGAAAAACAATTGGAGTTCTTTAAAAATAACCGTGAAGGAGGGAAACGCGTTCTTTCTGCGCAATGTAAGATTTGAAAGAATTATTTTAATATGATCCATACGAACCGTAACTTTAACTGACTGTCTGTCTATCTATATACCTATTTTTTACATTAACCCCGTTAATATAACAAAGCTGACTTGATTAAAGATTTTGAATCTGCCTGCAATATTTATCTAAAGGCAGTAAAGAAAGACCAAACAGAGGTAAATATGTACATTTGGCTGTTTATGGTTTTTCGCATCAGCCGGACTCGTGATCCTATTCCTCATACATCGACTTCATTTTTTTTACGCAGACAGCATCTCTAGTCCAAAATCTAAACCGAACTCGCGCTCGCAGTCTCCAAAATACCCAACTTCTCACCAAAGCTCTCTTTCCTATTGATAATCTTGGTTCAACCATTTACCGAATGATCCAACTACTTCTTGACTCTGATAAAAAGGAAATCTCAGTGAAATCACTTATTACAGAATTCCCCCCAGGGCAAGAAAGGAAGCATAGGTTACATTGTGCCATCAGCACGTTGAATGAGTTTTCGATTTGTGAGACATTGGCTGTGTGTAAGGGCGATGGTGAGAACGTGAATGGTGACGAAAAGGAAGAGATCATTTTGAAGATCACATTCAGGGACATGGAAGGGTAATTTGTGAGAATAAAGTTACAACTGACTTATGCTGGCCGGCTGAGATATCGCTATAATATTGTTTTCGAGTTGTGCGAAATTGTGAGTTTCGACTGAATAGTTTGTTATTTGTGGTGATTGAAAATTCTCTAACCATATTGTCACTGTAATTATCTAGCACTTTCCAATATACATATGCCAAGTTTGAGTGCAATCTTTCCTTGTCGTTAGAAAATCTATTTCAAACTATCGCTTGACTACTCATGCTGAACTATTCAATTACGGATCCAAACATAAGAAAGCTGCACAGGAAGACGCTAAGATTTGGTGATCGCTTCAAGTGATTATCCATTCTTCCTCCATTTCAATGACAATTCAATTATCATAAACATACAGTGTATAGTAGAACAACATAAAATGTACTGTTAGTACACGTACGAGAAGATTCGCTGAAACTAGTTGACCAGCGACGTACCATGTATCGAAAAATCGTGATAACAGTCACAGTTTGTTTGATTTTGTACCGTTTCTTGAGGGACTTTCATCATATACATAATCATTGCAATTCTAGAACGTATGCTTTGGATGTTATTGCAAATGATTTTCTCCCATTGTCATTTAGTTTTTCAGCGGCTGGCAAAGTTGGGTTTGCAATACATTAGTTCATTCACAAAGTCAGTAATGACGTCTTGCCCGTTTAAAAAGATTCCACCTCAAGCCCTCATTGTTGGATGCGTCTTTGTGCCACTCACACGAAAGTCGATAAAGATTTGTTTCAAGTTAGTGACATAACTTAAAACGCGTATGTAATATAATCTTTGTGCCATAATAACCATTCTTCTATCGACTAATTTTTACGAAAACATCAGTAACTGTCGGCTCGCTTTGTTTGTTGGACAGACATTTTCGCATTGAATAATATGCGGGAATGTGCTAAAGCAACTACATGTGAAAACACCAAACATTTTCTACTGATGTTGCTATAAAAAATTCCTACCAATCAACATACATTTGTTCTTATATGGCGGTACAGTAAATCTTATTTTACACGTTCTAGAATTACATTTTTGTTCCTTTATAGTTATGCGTCCCATAACATAAGAGGTAATTCGGTTCGTTACAAACATCTATGCATGCGAATGTTGTTCAAGTCACACGAAAATGCTCGGCATAACGTGCATTATGATGGGGTAGGTGCCCACACAGAACGTTCATATCACACGTAAAAAATTATTCCTATATTGCTGGAAGGAACTCTTGTTTGATCTTCACTACTGGAATCAAAGAAAAGAAAGTTTTTCTAGCTCCACTTAGATAAAATTAATTTTAAAACTACAGCGCTGTGCATGTATGCGCGGGAAAATAAAGCTAACAAAGTGGATATCATATTGCATAGGTGCTATTGTTATTGCTATCATCGCGTTTAGTTTAAATTTTTACTGCGTGTATTAGTATCTGAAATGGTACATTTAATTCGAAACGCTCATGACAATACAAAAACAGTCGTCCCTCATTTGTAACCCCCTTATTGTAACCCACCCTCGGATATATCCCGGCTTTAGGATTCCCTCTATTATATCTCAGTATAAATTTCCCTCAGTTGTACCCAATCGATATAACCCTATCCCCAAAATTCACAGAGCCCGGTTTCCCATATTAATATCCCACAACGATAATGATCATACTTTACCTTACCATATATGTTAATGGTGTTACATAAACATTATGCTATTTCTATCTATTATTAAGCTATCCCTTGTTGGTTAGTACACTAATGCCAAGCATTACATATGGTCTGACCGAACGTGTGCATGTTATATGACCTGATCTTTTAATTGCAATTCTCATTTGCTTCAGTCTATTGCAAGTAGTAACTAAACAATCACAGTCAATTGAGACAGCCAACCCATTTTAGAACAAAGAGAATTTACGATAGGAGATATAATTCGTCGTTTAGATGAGTTGGTAGAAAAGTTAAAGCGCCAAACTTCATTAACAGAGTATAAAATTTCTTGTACTGCTAAACTAAAAATGCATATATCCCCAAAAAGTCTCTGTCCCGAAGTTGGGGTATAAACGATGGACAGTATGGCGTAATGTATGTGTCACACTACAACTCATATTCTACTATATATAGGACGGCGTGTATTCTTTACCATTGGTTTTATTGCAAATTCACACTCCTTTATGCATAAATAACAACATTTATACTTATACGGTAGTGTGCGACAACGTTTAATAAAATCAAACATTAACCAATTGGTCCATCAATACGCGTCATTTTTCATCATCGAGCACAATTATTTATCAAGGGTTGCTATCAGTTGTACCAATTTCTGATTCAAATGCATGGAAAGAACCGGCCAAGTTGCGTCTGGGTGCATAGAGTATATGAGTATATGAGCATTCACGTTCCGCATCTGAACGACTCGGCAGTGAAGAGATCCCGGCCGGATCTGAGAGTGGGTCATATACATAAGGGATGCCCGGAACATCTTCTTTTTTTATTACACCGCCCTTTGGCTACGGAAAAGACGGTTTGGTAAGTATAAGGTTAAATGCGCATTGCTTTACGATTAAACAAACGCTATTTCTTTCTGTTTTTCTTCCTTGGTGGACGTGGAAGGGTTTGAGGGACTGATTCGGTGTCTACTTAGCTACCTGTTAATTTGAATTGTTGTGACGACAACTTAATGTAATTTTTATAACAACAGGTAATTATAATAATTGAAAAAGTAGGGGAAAAAACTTGAAATATTGTAAAATGATGAAAAAAATTTAATCGAAACTATTTACCGTATTCCTCCGACATGTGTACCCGGGGCATTCCTCTAGTTCATTTAGTACCTATAATGGGTATATATCTTGAGATTTATTTATTTTCAAAATTTGAATTTTAATTGGCTGTTTATTGGCACGTTATTAGTAGGGTACAACTCACGGGGGGTATATATGCTGGAGGAATACCGTAACTAATGCCCGGTATAAATCAAAATTTGGCATTCGAAATTGCAGGGTATAGCTCACAGGGGGTATACATGTCGGAGGAATACGGTAATTGGTTTTATCTAACTACAGATGTAATCGTATAATGTTATAACAATATGTACATAATAAACGATGTATTTCTTATATGACAATAGTCAAACATTGACTACAGCAATAACATTAACAGAGGCTTACCTTATAATTAGTACCATAACTAATTTGTAATTTGGAATTCAGTCAAACTTCGGAAAACCGGACCAATATCGTAAAATCAAAAAAAAAATTCCCAATTCTCTTACTACCTAATTAATGCTAATACGTTAGATTTTGAAACTTCGATAATTAACTTCTTTGGCTACTCTTAATACATCAATAGCTATAATAAAGTTACCTGAGAATTCCATCTGCCAAGCGAAAATGTGGGCCGATTGCTATAATTAACGATTCTATTATCTCATGATCTCTGTTGGCTTTTTACGTAATATCTTCTGATCATCGCAACTGTCTCGTCAAGACTATCTATTTTATAGCATTTATTTGGTCGGGTTATTTAAATAACATACTGAGTCATCGACACGAGATAAATGTTGATTGCGCGGGTGTGGTCGTGGGTACTACACCAACACTCCCAGATTCGGTAGGAAAGCTTCGCGGTGTCGGACTGTTCTGTAATAGGGCACTTATACTGTTATTCTCTATGGAAATTAGCACGGGTATTCTTCACTCCAACTTTTTCTGGAGGAAGCGATTGCTACAATTCTCAATTTGCGGTTAAGTTTGCCGTCTCTTGCTTTGAAACTTTTGTGGAACAAATTTGGATGAGTAAGCACAGATAATTCCCAGGACACAAAACGATGTCTCGAAAAATCGATAGAGAACATTCCATCAACTGCACCAAGATCGATCTACAGAATAAACATTATTTGTTACTCAAGCGCATCATTCCATTAGATTTCTACAATTGTACAATTTCATCATTAAGTGATCGCCGTGTTGTAACGCCAAATGATACAATAATATGATATAATCATTAATAAAATAATATTTACTGTTTACAATATATAAAAAAAAGTTTTTAATTCAATTATGCAGTTGATCGACGAACATTTATTAGAAAAGACAGAATAGGGAAAGTAAGAAAAAATCAGCCCAAAAAGACCGCCCTGTAGTAGTCAGTAAATGGAAAACGATCGAGTCAATCCGACCCTTCACTGCCTCCCGTCTGCGATGAGAATGTATAATCACGTTACACTATTTATCGTAAAGCATCTTATTCTGAGCGGTTTGCTGCATATATTGACCAACTTCTCAAGAGTTTGAAATACAGAAATAGTGGGAAGAGGTAAAGTGTTTTTTGAGATCAGTACGGTCTAACAGGCCGAGCTCCGATTTCGGACGTGTCCGAAAATCGCGTAACCTGGCGGTTACACGTATCTTGATAAATTATTGGTTGGAATTTGGTAGCACAGAAAATTGATCTGCCGATCGTACGTGTAAAGTATAGCTGACTCGTTACAGATCTCGATTCTGGTGTCATGCTTTGGCGTAAATTGGCAATAGAGGTAATACAAGATGACCAAAGGTGCGTATAAACGAAGTGATGGAATTCGTACGTAACTAACATAATATACCGCCCAGGGCAATCAATAACTTAAACTGTTATAAATAGCCGAAAGTTTTCGTCGCCCACTTTTCATCCCTCCGCCGAGTCCTCGCAGTAAATAGGCTAACATAAACAACCTGACTATTATAATAAAAGTCATAACAATAAGATTATGCGTATACCTGACATCTGTTGCAAGAAAAAAAAACCGGTTAATAGAATAACAAAACTCTTTATACTCTTTCTTAGTTTAGTCTTGAGGTATTAACCGCCGAGCGTAACCTCGTTGAATACAACCATAGGACTATATCTTTGTCACAGGCTAACGATATCCCTAAATAATATCAGAGTCTTCCGGTTCAGTAAATTATCCAGCAATAATAATTATAAACACTCACCAATAAATTGATGAACAAAGTTAACGGTCGAATATCTTCCAAGAGAAATTTCCAATCATCCAACGTGAGATGCGGAGGTTGAGTCACTCCTTCGGTGTGACAAGTGGAATAACAACATACTATCAAATGGCATGTAACTATGGAAATCTGTATGTGTGTATATTGCGTGTTGCAAGCATCTTGGTTAGTGTTAGACTGTACTTTGGTGGCTATATGACTGAAAAATAAAGCTTGAAAACAGGTAAATTCCAAGGCCAGTATTATAATAATAGCTTTCCCTTACATACGGGAATCTGAAGTGAGTATATATTCTATTCTTGAATATAATTATTTGCGTCGGTTATGAATTTGCCCCATTTCTCAACTATGTATATATATATATATATGCGGACTAATGTAAATCGCCTTGGAACAATTGTTTAACATTGGATTCCAAACATGTCAGGGTCTTTTTGTGTACATCAGCCAATAAGAAAGAATAAATACTAAGTGCTGACCATCTATTATACTCAGTCTCAGGTGCTTCTTAGTTGGTTATGTTTTTTTAGCTATATTATAATAGCTTTACCGGACAATCCTCGGTAATAATTATTATTGTTATATTATCGCTTTTCAAATTTGCACAAAACTCTGCTATTAACTTTTTTTCGAAGGTAACAATAACATGTGAAGACAAACAAAAACCCTGTAGCTTCTGCAAGTCAGCGGTTGTTAATATTGATTTGTTTAACTGATTAATAATGGGATCGAGAATATAAACTGTTAGTGGATGATTATGAAACAACGACAATGTACAAGGTACTGGTCATTGTGTGTAACATGCTTACCATTGTAATTTTATTGGCTGCTAATTACCTTTGTTCTATTTTCGTTGTCTCGAAAAAGATTTGATCTTTATTAGGCGCGCTTGTAGTTGACCACTATTTATAGCGCTGTACCATTCAATAATAGTGAAACGGTTACAATTTTCTTAATCAACACATGTTTGTGTCAAGCATGAAGTAAGTATTCAAAAAACACATTCTGATAAACAAACGAAAATTCTAGCTCAAAAGTGTCCTCATAAAGAATGTGAATTTTCAACTAGAAATATTTACGCATCATTTATATCATGTGTTTGTTGGAGCTATCTCGTAGGTAGTAGAAAGAGGGCACATGAGCTTAGGCTCTAATGAAGAAATTTCTTCCGATTATCTCTTAGATTGAGGGAAAGAAACGAGGAATGGTTAACGATCACAAAGAAACAACTGCTAGGCATTACTCCTGCCATGAAAAAGCCGAAACAAGCAAGAAATAAACTTCTCTCAAATTTCGTTCGAACATTTAACAGTAAAGTTTTCTATTTGTTATTCAAGTAGTTGATATGCTATCTGTGTACCATGACCATGAACTCACCAGACAAAATTATCTATCAAACTTTATTTCTTAGTAAGAGCAGTAAAACGAGAAAGTTTCTTACAAACATACATTTAGTTGCTACATGTCTGTTGTAGATAAAACTTAGTATGTATGAAAATGAGCCAACTCTCAACCTTATATTATATATATCCTAAGACTGTTATTAGCGGCCGTTTAAAATCTTTCTTTACAGAACTTGACTTATTATATAGAGAAACATACATACGTACATACATACATATATGTTCACTTGTTGTTTCCTTGCATAATATCCCATTGATTGGATCGTATAGTTATTGGTGATGCCTATATTATTTGTACGCTGTAGTTTGTGGATCAGAAAGATAGATTAAATCAGTATGCTATGTATGCCTCATGAAAGCAAGCGGTTATCAACAAAAGGAAGTTTTCAAAAACGCACAGTAGTTATTTTCTCTTAGGTATTCTAACAATGGATCTTTGAAATCTTGATCCATAATAATGCCAGGATCTGTCATGTATATACATGCACCTTCAGTACAAATTAGATCTATGTAATAACAATTCTTAGTTAATAAACGTAATTCTAGTTCGTCAGCATCAAGATTAACGACCCGAGTCATACCCATATATTGCGGATAAAATTCCCATGGCGTGAGAATGACATAGTTTAATGGAGTGTCCGAGGAGGACTGATGGTTAACAACGTCTTGTGGTTGATAAAAGTATGGATCTGTTGGTAACATGTATAATTGGTCATTAACAAAGTTTGTCATTCGGAAATTTTTAATAACGCTTTACATGACGTCTTACTTGTATCGTGCTCTGGGACTGTTGGTGCATCATCCAGTGGGTAGTATTCATCTTCGGAAAAATCTTCTGGAAAATCTTCAGAACGCGCAACAGTATCTTCATTGATGCATGGTTGATTTTGATTATGCAAAATCCGTTTGCACCATTGGTCAAATACAAAATTCTTGGATTTCAAAAGAGCCTTTGTGTTTCTGTTGAGCGTTTGATATAAGGCTTTCAAATCATCATTCACTAGACGCCACGACTTTAATGCAAATTTTTGCACTTCATATGGCTTGTAAGGTTCGTCCTTCAAGCCTGTAACAAGCGTCCTGTGGAAGATTCGAAAAGCTGTGTAAGCGGTTCCTTTACATTCTTCGATAATCTGCTCCGGCGTGGGTATCTTAATCCTTTTTGGTTGTCCATTTGGTAGTTTAAGATGAATGGCTTTTCCATCTCTCGAGAGAGTGACCGGATTAGGCTGTTGGGAATAACGAGGAAATCTAATTTTCATTTCGTATAATTAAATGAGCGTGCGTTCGTGCGTGGGGTATTTACGTTAATGGCTTAAATCAAATTGTGCGTTGAATGGAGATGATTCTGCGTATATATGTGTTTGCGTGTGTATTGTATGCGTATTTGTTCGCCAAGATAAAAAAAGAATAATCTATTCATAGATTAGTGAGATGTAGCATAAACAAAATAAATATACGACATTTGTTAATTGCGTAATGTATTTAATTAATAAAGTATATAATAATAATATCAGGTAACTAAATGTGTTTCAATATCGACCAGAAAACCGGTTGTACTGTTGCAGGCATATCCTTTAATGGGATATAGAATAATAAAGAGCGTAGTACTCATTTTTATTTTGCTTTCTTGTGCATAAACAATTTCGTATACTCCTTTTTGACGGTAAGTAATCTTGACTGATAGTGCTTCTTCATTTTGTTTTAAATAAAATTTGAACGGCATACTAATAGCTCACATTCGTAACGTTATCGTATGATACCAGCGGCAAAGTTTAATGATTTGCAATTGATTTTTCTTGGCGCGGCATAACCGTGGTTTCCCGTATTTTGGATCTTTATTATCTTGCATCTCTTAACCAGGGGAGACTTTCAAAGACTGGAAAGGAAAGATTTTCGAGGATGCAGATCTTTTCCTTGCAAAAAATTTATTAAATTTTTGGAGCCATTCATCGTTGTGTCACTAGCGTAAGCCATATCAAGTAGGTCTCGGACTGACAACAATAACCGCTAACAATACAAGTCTGATTGATAGAAACATACGCACCAAATTATTGTCATGTTGCATGACTAAATGTGTGGCAAATTCTTGACATTGTCTCATATATATACTATCAGAAAATGGACCCGCTATCCAAAATATTTAATTTTTATTTTAAATAGAATTACATAAATTATCTTATTCTGGTAATTCGTTTAATTAATCGTGCAGCGTAATCTAAAATAAACCGTTCCAATATTGCGCACAGTTTATTGGTCATATTAATATTTAATTCGCGTTTTATGGCATGCAATGGTAAATAGGGACCCCGACGATTATTAATGAGCACGGGGGACAACAAAATAATCCCAAACTCTTGTGATAATTCCCAAGTATTCACAGCCCAGTCAATCTATCCGAGTATACAATCACTCGGAATTATGTGTAACTCAATACTCTGTTATAAATTCGGGTATAACTCTATACTGATAATGCATGTTTTCGAGTTGTAGACCGACCAACAATGCCATTCTGATAACATTGTTTTTGCTGACCTAACAGCTTCAATGGGATACTACATTGGACCGTCATTCCCTCATTAACGGTTACATCATATCAAACTTACTTTCCGGTCATACAATTTTCCTATTAAACACGTACAAAGACCATATAGTCTACTAGTCAGGGCTAAACGAGAGAACAGGCTTTTCCCATTGTTTTTTCCTGTTCCAACTCAGTTGCACAAATATCTACTTGCATATACAGGTTATAAGCTCTAGAACAAGAAATGTGGTTTTATCTGAGCGCAGTGTGTTACCCACTAGAATTTGAGCCCCCTCCTTATTCTCCGGTCAGCCCTCATTAATTCGTTAATACATTCTGGTTACACCTTTTGGTATGTTCTTCGACACTAAATGTGCTGCATTCATCATTCCTTGGAATTTATACGTTTCGTGTAACTTTTGGCATGTAAGTCAATATTTTCACGCGATAAGCAAGGTAAGAAAGCTAGCGGTTTAACAAGCGATGAATACACACTCTGACGAGTCTTCCTTATTATTATTTTTACCGGTTCGGGGGTTTCCGGATTTTGTTTCGTTAAGATAAGAACATTGGTTGTACAATTCTTATCTCTGCAGGTCCATGCTTTCTTTGTCAAAGTGTAGGTATTATTAATGACATGTTGTTTATCATTGTTTTCATTAGACCTTAGAATTTTTTTCATACAGTTTTTCCATACAGTTTTTTCCATGCGGTTTTTCCATACGATTGTTTAGATAATGACTTAATAATCAGTCTGGGCTTCAGTTTTCATTATGTAATCATCATATACGCTCTCATTACTGTAAATACGTTTTGTTTGTATCACAACGCTACGTTCTGTTCACATTGACCATGTGATCGACACCTACTGAGATAGCTTCCCCCACCAGCGCTTGAACGAGTTATCGCAAGAAGAAGGGATCCGAGAGTAATCAACCACTCACGAACAAGGTGGTCTCAAAACATAGTTTCTAGAAAGATAGAGCATATCTTTGAGCACTGGTGACGTTCGTAATTTGGTCTCGATAAGCAGTATTACAATATTGTGGCTTTGCAGGTATTTCACAGTGGCGGGGTCAACAAGTCGGTCAGTTTTGGTGTTCATTGAAAAAGCTGCAGGTATCTTTTATATGTTAATGCGTGTATTTAAAAAAATGCCCTCCACCACTCGCGTTAACTGCGCTCGACACTCGGAGCATGTTCGAAATACTATTTGCTGAGATATCCACCCCATATATTAATTGTTTATTATCAAACTGATAATGGTGTTAGAATCATTAACCAGATGCCAAGCACTCTCGCAGAATTTGTCCCCCATGCATAATGTCTTTGGGAAAAAACCCCCCCTACGTTCTGAGAACTCTTAGTTATTGTTGACGCTTTTTGGCAAAGTTGTGCATGTGCACATTCCTACGGCCAAGTCAAACTTTGTGTGAGATGAGAAGTTTCGATCACACATCAAAATTTTATTATCCGCCCTTGGAGTAACATTAGGTTAGAGTGTCCAAAGGCGTTGGGTACCAAGATAGCATGTCAATCGATGAAAGTGTACAAGTTTGTTGCGGATCGACAGTAATAATCGCCGTTCATCATCGAGGGAGATTTACCAATCAAAGAGCGATAACTAGCATAATGTTTACATATTTCTTGCATAGACGTATACTTTTGATCGAACTAACTAGCTAGTCCTTGTCATAACATGAGTTTCGATCGATATACAGTTAATTTCTAGCCGAAATTGGTCAAAATTAAGAATTATCACAAACAAACTAGTATGCAGGATTATGAGCATTGGGGTACAAACTGCCGAATTTGCGTAAAATTGATATGTGTAAGATGTTGCCTATCCCGATTTGGGAGATAATAGTAAACAATACTAACACGTCATTCTGGCGTAAATAATATAGAATAAAGATGTATAAAAATCTAAATGTTGGTGTTACCGATACGGGGTCGCTCAAGGGGTGAGCATATTTTTGCTGTCAGTTACTGAAAGAGGAAAGAAAGAAATAAATACATTTCACAGCAAGCGAACGTTGAGGCGTAGGGCAATAGAGGCTTCGTCCATGTTATCATGTAAATAAACGTTATCTTTGGTCAATTTTGCTAGTCTTTCGCTCGCTCTAACCCAAAAGCCACGATTTAATATTCTCATCGGATGACCGAGATATACATGGCTTTGCAACATTAATGTCTGAGGCTTTCAACGAACGATTTTAGTACTCAAAAATACAGAGTAAGCAGCTGTCGTTTTTCTGCTTTGATTATTATGCTAATACAAGCACTATTAGATTTGACAGCGAGGTCACCTTTACGATAAAAGAAAGGCTAATCATTATCATGACGAACTCGCTTTGTGCAGATTTTGACTGGGGAACGCTCATGATTATAACAAAACTCGGAAATCCAACACCTGACGAAACCCACAGACTTTGGCACTGCTTTAATGTAGATAATAATATGTGACATTCGTTATTGTTAATTATGTTAACGAAAAAACTCGATTTATTTGTACAAACATCTACGTGTATTGATGAACGGAAAGCCAGGTATGCCTAGCTTTCCCATTAACGGACCACCATTAACCAGGTAATTTATGGGTTCGGCTTATTTGAGGGGAAATAGGTTCTAATTATTCTAATACTAATCGATCCTGAAGAAAAAAAAACACTTTTCATTCAGAATGCTCATGAATCTATACATCCTTTCGCATATAGTCAATTAGTTTTAACGATCAGTCGATTCTCTAATTATTTAGGAGAGGTTTTCAACCTGATAATATGATTATCTTTATAATGTTACCCGAACGCTAATCTAGCGTTTCTCCCATCAACGAACCATTTATAGCGTTCTAATTCCAGGAATTTAGAACAATTCCAGGCAAGCAAGTTCTTTGATATAATTATGTGCAACGTATTCCATTCATCCTCGTATATCATACTTGGTTTTTTTGCAAATAACAAAAAGGCATAGCATGGCTATGTTTCGGGAGCAAGTTTCTACTGATAAATTAACTTGTTCGTTAACAGTTTTAATATACTATCGATACCAAGACGAATTTATCTTATTACACATGTCTGTCACCATTATTTTCAACTACCAAGCAGATATAATGGAAAACTTGTTTCATTGCGCCCATCATGCCCCGATCGACCTTTTCTTTCTTTGTCTAAGCAACAATGACAAAAGCAATAATGACAACAATAACCATCACAACTGAAACAATAACAATAACATCTGCAACTGCAGCTGCAACTAACTGCAACAACAATCACAACGGCAACAACCACATAACAACGACATCATCATCAGCAACAACATCAACGACAATAATTTGCGGTAAATACACAGTTTAACGAAGGTCCGGTTTAACGAAGATGGCTTTATAACGAAGTTTTTTTTGGAACCGTTTCATTAAAAATAGAGCCCGCTTTAACGAATAGTCCGCATTAACAAAGTCAGGCGATGGAACGGAACACTTTGTTAAACCGGACTTTACTGTGTATAACGAATGCTATGCACATCGGCAATATGATGGTTTTAACCCCTGCGTGTCTATAGATGGCTTTCTCTTTATGAAAGGTATTTCATTTCAGGCTATTCTTTGTCGGATAACTGGATGCGAATCTGAGAACTGGCATTTCTGATGTTGCCATGAAGCTGATTTTACTAGTTAGTGCGAGTAATGATACTAATACTTGTTCAAACTTTGGTTCTTTGTGAAAAACTATAGTTTCATTCTGATTGGCTGTATCAATTATTTCAAGTTTCAAGTCAACCTCCCAGGCTCGAACATAAGACTTAAACCCGAAATGGGTTCGCAGTACGAAATATGGCCCTTTGTGTAGCAATATAACTGTAATTACAACCAATGATGTTTGAACAACCTCGCGGAAGCTTCGTTGATCAGAGTTTATTCTCCGACATACCTTCATAATTTGAAAGTGTCAAAAGCAAGGACATTTTTCACTTTGTAGTTTTAAGGATAATATTCCATTAATGTATTGTAATCAAATAATATATTATAAACTTTCTCTACTACTACTCGATCCTTGAGGTACTGATATTGATTCTACTATTACAGGCAAGATTGAGTCATAGAATATTTCTTCTGGATTTGTGTGTTATATGAATCGCCCAAGATATATTCCTCACGTCTTTTCATCTCGACCACCTTGGATTGTGGATTTATAATATTCACTCTTGTCAATGAGTTGTCAATCGAGATATTATTTGTATGATGCATCAGCCAAATCATTACTGTAAGTACATTGTATACTGCCTCGTGCAAGGTTTTTGTTTCTTCTCTCACAATAATCGAGAAACGATATTTTTAAACAAGTCTCGTGATTTTCAGCGTTACTTACCCAGCATGTATCTAAATCTTTCACCAAAAAAGGAAAGACATTACATTCTCTAGCCTGAATGACTTGTGGAAGAATTAGTCCCTATTCCTATATATATGAAAATGGAGCTGTTAGGGTATATTTTAATTTCCGATAATGCTGTGTAAAAACCGTTTTAAACTTAATAGTAATAGTATACCAGATCATTCTCATCCTTAGAACAGTCCGCCAAGTATAATTTCACGAAAACAAAAACAGTCAACATTCCGGTTGGATTACAATACTAACAGTCCTATGAGCTATGAAGGAAACTTGTTAAATGAATAACACACGTAATACTTGGAGATGAGCAGTCATTTAGAAATTAAAGCAAACCTATTCTTATCCAATTTGCAAGCATAATTGTATCACACTAAAAACAGCGTCCAAATCACCTGATCAAAATCCTATTCAACCCATCTCTCCCCAACGAACTTTGCCAATTCCGGTCTCCCAATTAACGAAGTAAGTTTTTTCTTAAGATACTTGCTCAACGCTTTCTCCCTTCTCTGCACATACGTTGTCAATTAACAAATTCTCTTCTCCTGTTACAATAACTTTTACATTTTGATACAAAATACCACGTCCCTTGTTCTGCGCCCCAACACCAATCTTATCAATTTCACAACCATGAAGAGAAAACCCAAACGTCGCCTATCCACAACGGACTCACACGCTTCTTCTAGCACTTCTACTTATACGCACCCAATTTCCAGTAACATTAGCTCTTCTTCTTTGCCTCTTCACAAACGTTTTCGAAGACACGCCACACGAGGGACACCCGTTCATGCACCATTCGTAAGTGATCCTGCGTGTATAGATCATTCAGACGCATTTGACGACAACGACGACGACACAGAAGTTTATAGAAAGCACAGAAACAGCATGAATGATACAGTCAGTGTATCTTGCGGAAGCGAGAAAGAGAATAAAGAAAATAAAGAACGAATGGATTGTAAAGAATGTAGGGAAAAAGAGGATAATACAAAAGATCTTGATAAAGAGTCATGTAAAGCGAATGTAGTAGGGAAAGAGAGAGAGAAAGTGAAAGAGAATGGTGAGAGAGAGAAAGAGAAAGAAAATGAAAACGATAAAGAAAAAGAAAAAGATAAAGGTAAAGGTAAAGATAAAGGTAAAGATAAAGGCAAAGATAAGGATAGAGACAAAGAAAGGGTCAAAGAGAAAGGCAAAGATGCGAAAATCCGAGGTAGAGATCGCGAAAGAGAAGCAACACAAGATCGAAGCGAGCATGCTTCGATGCTGCGGGCAGCGCAGGAAGAAATATTGGAATTGAAAAAAGAGATTAAAAGATTACAGGCAGAAGTATCGTTTAAAGATCAAGTGATCGAAAGTTTACACGCTCAGAGCAAGAAGCCTAAACCTGGTACGAGTTGGGTTGATGGGAATACTTTAGATTGAAGGGAAAGAGAGTGTTGACAAAACCGTAAATTGCTGTTGCAGGCTTGACGTGTGTAATCTGTGTTGAGTATATGAGTAATCCGTGCACAATATCCTGTGGACATACATTCTGTTATGAATGTTTATACGATTGGGTATGTTATTTAACAATCATTCTTGAGCGCTTTGTGCTCCTCAGTCTCGTGCTGTTTTTGTTGGTCCTTTTTTTTCCCCCTTGCGTCGTATTTACACAACTTTTTGCATCCTCTTGGAACTTAGCTGAAAATCCGACGCGAATGTCCAACCTGTAGGAAGAAAATATCTCAACGGCCGACACTTTCTTTCGTTGTAAAAGAACAAGTAGAAACTTACGTCGAGCAACTGGCTCCTGATGAACGCGAATCCGCTAAGGCTCGCTTACGTGATAAGGAGGCTTCGCTGAAAGAACAGAGTGATCCCTGGAGTGAGGTATTTGGAGGTCACACGGTAGCAGTCATTGTGGATGATGCTGATGGAGTAAGGTTAGTATGTTATTGAGGGCTTCACTTTCCGCTTTTACTGTGATAGTATAGAAGTATTGGATGAAAGAATATGGAGAGACAGATCACAGATTAATAATCCGGTAGAGGAATATTCATTTGAGGAAAAGACGTCATTTCATAAATGTGCTTTAAATGATTTATTCACTCTTAATAGTCAAATTATTATAAGCAGTTTTATGTTGAAATCTTCATTCACAATATCGTTCACAATATCATTCACAATTAACTGACTTTATATGACTTAAATTCGCAGACGATGTTCAAGGTGCGCTTGGGAAGGCAAGTTTCTCAGTGACTGGATTGGGTGACGGGAATAGGAGGACAATTGCGTAGTGTAATTGATAGTTGACCGTTATTGGGAATTTAGATACTCTACGTCCATTGTGAATGTGCATTTTATCCCTATTGTTTCCTAGTCACACCTTTTCATATTTCTTGTTTTAATCCAAGCGCCTTAATCTCTTCAGCATAAAATTGATAATATTAACAAGTTTCAAATAATTTATATCATCCGCAACCTCAACGTTTTCCAGTAATCGGTAATGTGTGTGTACATTGTGGGGTTGACTACCGTGAGCGCACATACCGATTAGATGAAAGCGACCATGACCTAGGCCTTGACAGTGATGAATTCGACGACGACGATGATGACGATAGTGACGGACATCTCTTGTACTTCTATGAGAGAAATTCCTTCAGCGGCGGACGGGACATCGACTCCTATTCGGAGAACGACAGCATCCCGGATATCTTATCAGCCCGGGAATCGGATCCATACGAGACAGATTCGACGGATCGATCGTATACAAACTCTGATACGCATAGTTTTATACAACAGCAATTACGGACACTATGGACTCAGGAATCACAGATAGAACCTATATATGTAAATACATCTTCGCAGAGCTCAAACAGAGGACATCGTCGTGTGCCTTTAGCAACGTCAACAAGGAATTCATCCAGGCGTCAAGATAACGAGGATACTCCTCGTGGGAGCGAATCGTCTGATGGATACCATCCGTCTTCGTTGACAGTGTCGGATGATGACGAAGAGGAAGAGGAAGGTGAAGAGCATGGGAGTAAATCTGCTCGTTACCCTCTTCGATCAAGGAATTATTCTATCGTTTCAGATGATACTTCAGACGCACCTCGCACTCATCTAGCTCTTTCTCAAGGCACACAATATCGTTTAAGATCTCCGATACTAGCAGCAACTATTCGTGGATCACCGGGATCATCGTCGAGATCACGCAATCAAGTACGTGAGACTGAAGACGACGCCGACGACGATGACGACACCACCGATTCTGACCTTTCTTACCATAGTCACGATGATATACATTCTGATAGTTTGATATCGGATGATGCTGACGATGATACCTCTTCCAGTTCATCGGATGACGATATTAGCTATGAAAGCGGGCGACACTCGTTGTCTACTCTGGTCAGTGATGATGCAGAAGATTTTGATATACGCCGTCAACTACGCAGTATTGGAGCAGGACAAGTTCGACCATATGTGAGCGGAGAAAATTATACATCCGCTACTCGAAGCGGGGAAAGTTATACATCCGCTACTCGAAGCGGAGATAGGAGGAGATGGATGGCAAGAGGATGAGCATGGGAACGGACGAAGATGGAAGATGGTTGATGATAGGTGGTGTTACAACACGTGTATAGGACGTGCTGTATGCACGTTCCTTGCCGACTTGAATAACCAATTGAAGACTATGTTGACGAGATATCCTGTATCTCGAACATTTCATTCCTTCAGGACAATGGAATGATGGTATTATGTGGCCTTGCTCGGAATTTACAGATATAGAGTCGGTTCTGATCAACAAACTATCTATGACACTTTACAAAAAAAATAGACGATAATATTGATTATGGTGATGATAAGATGGTGATAAGGTAATGACAAGATAACGAAGAAAGAAGTCAATTATAATGAGACAGCGATGTATTACGCGTTTGTCTGTGGCAGTAGACAACTTATAGATAGTTTGCTATTTATAGCATAGGGAAGTTTGATTTCATTGGTTTACAATAATCAGCATCTAAGAAGGAATATAATTGGTTAATAAATTTATGAACAAGCTACTATAATTTGAAGCTTCCGCTCAAAAATTCTTTCTATATCAATTTACCTCTGAGAGTAAAAGTGGCTTACGCTTACCTGGGATAGCCAGACGAAATATTCCAGAAAGATTAAGGTTCATTACTAAACGCACAAATTGCACGTCATATTTTTTTTAAATAAAAAGCAAGTCACAAACAAATTTAATTTTGAGTTATACTGTGCAGACTCCATTTGTCATAGTTTGAGTGAATGCAATGTTTTTAGAATAAATAAAAGAATAAGAATAAGAGTAGTATCATCAGATTCAATGGACTTTATGCCGACTATGTAGACACTCCATTTAGTCCTGGCACGCGCATTTTCGAGTTTAAGTTCTTACCAGAATGTTCTTTATTTAATAGACTGAACGTTGGAGTTTTGTAGCATCCAATGGATGGTGAGTTCCATTTGCTAAGGATGAAATACAAATGTCACGTTTTCAGGTACAGCAAACGCCGAACGTTTATACAAGAATAAACAAAACTTGTACTCCTATGAGATAAGTGATAACGCGTTCCAGAGGCCATTTTTGTCCGTCCCGCGGAAAATGACGACGAAGGAGGGGAGCTCGTAACTCTCCACTCATTTCACTCACTCGTCAACCGACAGCAGCAGATGGTGCGGTCAGGCTAGAGAGAGCTACCTCCAATAGGGGGCGATAGAGGCCTCACGTTCACCTCACACGTCGTTTTTGAACTACCCCAGCAGCCTCAGCAAAAAAGCACTACTATCGCGAAGGACTTTTATTCAACAAAACGCGTTGCGCTCACACTGTGTATAAGTACCCAGCAATGATAGTTGATTTGTGGCATGTGCATTACTGAGCGATTTATACAGCGAGTGAAGATGATATTGAAGCTGTCCAAGAGACACTGGTTGCACTCACCAAACAAGTGGCATCATTATCAGAAGAATTTCGGCAATTGCCGACTTTAGTTTGTTTACAGAGACTATCAAAGCCAAAGAAGATGATTTGGACAAAGTTTCTGCAAGGATAAAATTACTAGAAAATTTCATGGCATGACAAAACTATGTGGCATGTAAACAATTTCAAGCATGAACTCCTACTCTTCTGTCTCGCATGCACTCCATTGCGTTGCCAGTTAGGCTTTAGTCGGAAGTTTAAACTCACCAGATCTCGCCAACTAGTATTGATTCGACCCTATAATAATGGTGCTCAAGAAAAGGAAACATAAGAAACTGTACTGTTTGTGACTACTACATCAACACTTATCCTTGCTAAGCGGAAAAAGGACCGAAAAAGTATCCACCTCTTCAACTTTGACTCTGATACATCAGAATGGATCTCATATACCTTGCCATTCCGTATTTCTCTAACAAGCTCTCATGTCTTGTTTACTATTTTGTGAAAATACATTACGCTCGATTGGGGGGTTTTCATTTCGAATACCAACCGTGTTTTCCTTAGAAGCATTAGAAAAGTAGCCTCCCATCATAGGATAGATAAGAAAATCGCGTAATAATGCATCATGAAGACGGCTCCATGGAGACTTACATGGAAATAGATGACATTGAAAATGACGGGGCGGGACATTCGTCTAATAATCAGACGGCTTAGTGGGGTCATTCGGATCGTCTAAAATACGGATGGCTGAAAAGTTATTGACCTTTGTAGGCGTTGTAGAAGAAGAAAATATTACTATGACGCAACATGTCGTTGTTACTATGACGCAACTGATGGAAGAAATCCGCGAAATCCGCGATATTAATATTGTCAACAACTGACGTCGTGACTGATGCTACGGTGTAAACGGTGACGTATTCTCCTGAACTCCGACGCAGTAACACCACAGCTGACGTATACTGAGGACAATAGCTTAGACAATTAGTAATAGCAGCTAAAATAGATCAATTAGTCTGCTCGAAAGATATATAAGTAGCGTAGATTTCAGTTGGATAGAGTGTCAGTGCATGTGTAGAATGTTCTAATTACTTCGATTCCTTTATTATTATTGTAAATAAATGAGTAGTTCTTTATACTCTGAAATACGTTGTTAATGATGCATTCCCTGGTAACTTATCGGTATAGCTGAGAAACCGCTAATCCCTATATTAATATCGATGAAATCCCTGTTCAGCTGCTCTCTCATATAACTCAAGTGACTCAAGTGCCTTTTTAATATCTGCTTGTACTCCAATTCCATTTTCATAATACAGGCCAAGAACATATTGTGCATAAGGATTTCCTTCTTTAACTCCTAATTGGCACAATTCAGTTACAACACTAATGTCAACATCTAATGTTTTTAACTTTTACTGACAAATGTGCTTGTTTTATCGCACTATCAACTGCTTTTGATTATCTTTTCTACTCCAGTTCCATTTTCATAACATAAAGCAAGACTAAATTGACAGTGGCAAGTCCTTGTTCAGCTGCTTTTTCGTTATAGTAGAATCCATGTATAAATGCACGAGTACTAAATAATGAAAAAACTTTTTCAGCGTAAACAGTGTTACTAAATAACTTAAACAATTTTACATTCCTAACATTTATCAATTTATCCTTGTCGCCACCTTCCTTCAGCTCAACTAAACGGTTACTTCGTCTCAAGCACTCGACCAATCCACCCTCCGACAAACATTAACCACACTAAACTCACTTACACAAGATTCCTTCACTATTAACTATTAACTGATTCTAGCTCAAAAAAGTGCCCTAATAAAGAATGTGAATTTTCAACTAGACATATTAATATTTACGCGTTTGTTGGAATTAACTCAATATATGCAGTTGTATAGCAAGCTGTACACATCGGAGACGGTATGTACGTGATGAAATTCGCCGTACGTTAATACTGTAAGATAAAGCTTAAAATAAAAATAATTGGTTGTCCTTGCTTGCGATGTTACTGTTGTTTTGGCTGGTTTCACTATGTTTATATTTCTTATTTTGCGAAAATAACCCAGTTTGGAAAAAGGCGAGCGGGCATGCTGACATCAATTGGTTTATTCTGCTTTATACTTACGTTCTATGTCGGACATACAAGTTGACATTCTTCTTAACAGACTGATAGAATAGAGAACTTGAATACTACTACTGCGTGATACGCCTATAAAATTGGGTTTGTACAGAAATACTTTAAGCAAAAGGTACAATATACAATGTTTATATTGTAGTATTAATATAGGTACTGTATTTCGTTAGAAATTACTGTATTTATTAGATATAATTGGTTGTGGTGGGAAGATGTGTATACACGTACATTAAAGGAAGTTTTGACAATTTTGGAGTTTTTTTTTGTGTTGTGACGCTGTCGTTCTGAATGTTAATTTGTTGTTTCGTCGCCTTGTTTTCCAAATCTTCTTTTCCACCCCAACATGTCACTACACACGAGGAAGCAAGGTACGAGTCTACATATTTTTAATTCTCTTTCCCAAAGGAATGTTTCATGTTTTTTGGTAGCCATGATCTACGTGGAATGTTTCTTGGCTACCAGATAAGAGGTTTATTCTTGGTATTAGTCGAATTTGTAAATATGTGGTTTCGGATAATCTATGTAACGTTTGTTTTCTGTCAACCACGTCGTTTGTTCGTTGTCTCAGTTATGTGGTATTCCTCTCGGTTGGAGAAGTATTCCCTTATCCACATTATTTAATAGTTTGTTCTTGCATTGTTGTCTTTCGTTCTATTTTGAGCTGATTTATATCTTTTATCAAACTGTATGTATGCAGTTATGTCTGGGATTAGTAAGGACATGGAATACAATGTTTACACGTTGCGTTCAGTTAATAGTTTTGCTCGTGTGAATATCTATGTCAATGTATCATATATGAGATCGCGAATGATGCAGATACAGTAGTTATTATTCGAAAGGTTTAGATGTCGGATTATTTCTACCGTATTAGTATGGCAAATAGAGAGAGGTAAATCTTTCAGCTATGTTAATAAATTGTGCATGAGTTGATTCTTCTCTAATTCTCCATAAGTGTACGATTCAATAAAAATTTCCATATAAGTACTGTCAATATTGTTAAATTGGTCAAGACAACCTTGAACTTGGATATCAACCCGATGACTGTTGGATATTAATGGACGCGGAAATGTCTTCAAAGATTAAGAGCAGTCCAACAGCCTTAGTTGTTTTCAAATCCTGATTATTATTATTGGAGTTATTTACTGCTTTTGCAGTGTCAGTCTTACGGGGAATTATGTCTTATTATAAAACAATATTGAAATATCCCCTAAATGCAGGCTTCACTCTAAGTACTATTAACCCTAACGACCTGTACTTAGGAAGAGTCCGCTGTAATAAATTTCTACATAAATAATGCGCTTCCACAATAAGATCGTTGTAATGTTATACAATCTCTTGTTAAAATAGCGACCGATTGTTAAAAGCGCGCTTTCTTTGAAAAATTTTACTTAACTTACGAGCCGATTGACAATGGTACGAACTCTGACTTTAATTTGAAGGAATCTCTTGAAGATAGGGTATATATTTGTATGAACATAATATCTGTGCACATAATAAGGTTAAGCACAATAATAGAGATATGGTTGATTAAACGGTGTCAAGTAGTATATGTTGTGCGTAAATGTTTCTTCAATTTTCGTACATGGCAGGTAAAATGGTCTTGGGTAAGTTCAACGTAATAATAAGCACAACTTACTAATGATTTTTAATTTGACTTTACCTGGATTTATGATCTAATACTAACTTTTGAATCGAACGTTGTTTATCTGATGTCGTATAATAGTTTATAGTATATTGTATTATGCTATGAAAGAACCCACTTCTTCAAAAGACACGAAGCAACAAATGTCTTATTTTTCGTATTGAGATGGGATGCCAAAAGTCATAGTTCGGGATAAAATTTCTGTCAATGTTCCAACAAATCTTGTAGCGACACTGTACATGACAACAATAAAAAGTCGTAAATGATAGCGATAATTGGTGTAAATCTTCTCGGTTAACCACACCCCTTCCTCCTCAGACTGTTTCCATTTATCGATTGTTGAGCAAATAAAGTTCATAATAATAATAATAGAAATTCTTCCAGGATTCAGTCTTCTTTGCATATTGGCTTGCAGACAATTCATGATAAAAATGTAAATGGTAATAGTATATAGTTGGTCACCAATAGTAATACTCGGCACGAAAAATCGGTTTATCGATGGACGTTGAAAAAAGTGACATCTGCAAGTATTTGTTTTGTGCAATGTGCACAATGCTTCCAAGTTTACCTACCTTCCATCTATTGTGATACGACCCACCCAAAAAGGTCAAATTGTGGTACATAACTGGAATCAGTAATCGCTATCTGGCCTATATAAAGCGTAATTTCGTCTCTTCGATTATGCTCAATTTGATTTTCCCGTGTTTGTCACTTTGTTATAGCCCTGATCCGTAACAACCACACATAACAACGAATGTCTGAAAAACGGAAAAAACTGGAAGAGCTTGCAGCCAAGAGAAAGGCAGAGCAGGCAGACGAGACTAATCAAAAGTGAGTTCGGAGGTGTAGAATTATAGTTAGCGTATACTAGATCAGTCTCTTTGCATTTGGGTAATAAAGTGTGTTTTTGATACCGCTGTATGCATTATTCAACGTAATTACATGTAATGATACTCATCAAATGGATTGCTATTTTACATGTTCAAGACAAGCAGAAAAGGTCAAGCCTAAGCCGCAAGCACAAGTACAACAAAAGCATAAAACAGCTTCTAGTGGAACTTCCGCTGGACCTTCCAAGAAAATCTCAGCTGGAGGGACAATGCGCTCTTCAGCTAAACCAGCTGCGGCTCCACCCCGTACAAATGCTAAGCCTTTTAGTGGTCGTCGGCTGAACGAGGATGATTATGATGAAGGAGATGGCTTTATAGTGGATGATGACGAAGGTACGTTGATGTCGGATAACGCAGCAAAATACAATCACATTGCGATATGGATTTTTGCCAAAAATGCAATAATAAGAGAAATCAGAGAAGAAAATGTCGCAGCATAGGTGCTCAAACTGCGTGGATTGTTCTTATTTGTGCTTGTTTATACGTGTATTTTGTGGTCTTTCAGTAGTTAATTGCTGTTGTAAGAGATTTTTTTGCACAAGATTGGGTTTTATGACTTGCTGGATTTATTTACCTCTATATTGTTACACTTGATCTTGAATTTTTTATAGGTGAAGACATAAACGATGGTGTTCACAACTGACTAGGTGGCCTAACATATAAATGCATATTTCTGGTTTTCTGTAGATGAGGTTACAACATCCTCGAGCGATTCAGAAGACTATACATCGGAGCCATCTGGTTCTGATGAAGCATTGTCCAAGAAGAGAAAGAAATCTGGCTCGACGAGATCAAGGAAGGTATAATGAATAGCCAAGTGATATTAAATTGATATACAAAATTGATTTCTTGCCGATACGTTTACGCGTGAACGTTTACTATAAATTGGCTTTTTTTTTTTTTTACGTGCACCTGTGTTTATTACACATTGAACTCTCAATGGCAACAGAAAATTAAAGGGAAGCCTAAGAAGAAAGTATCGAGTGATGATGAATCGGATGATGTAATGAGACAAAAGCAAAAGTCAAGGACGGTTGACGATGAAGTCTATGATAGTGATGAAATAAGTGAGTGGAGGTTGACTTTTGAATTTTAATTATCTGCTGACACGCTAAGCAAACTATGGTCAATTGATACAGAACAAGATGCTGCAGATCTAGATGCTTCCAACATTATAACTGGTGGCAGAAGGACAAGAGGAAAGAAAATAGATTTTTCCGTTTTTGGTCCAGGTGAGAGACGAATATCATCAAGAATTATTGTTGTTAGTTTGTCATTTGTTTCGTACCGTTGACGACATTTATAAACGATGAATCGCATTAATAGATCCAGAAGACGAATGAAATTATCTTCTGTTGTCTGGTGTCAATGTCTCTTAATCTTCCTGTCATGTAAATATTTAGGAAGATGAACAGATGCAACCAATATGCTAACTCGATACCATGACATAGTCGATTACAGCTCATAGCATTTTGTAAATTTTACAGCTGACATCTTATCATCCCTTACTTCATTATTTGCTGTCGAGGTGTGGATATTGGTGGGAATTATCTGCTATACATCAAGTTGGTTTATTAACAAGTACTCTGATTACTCCTATCTCTTTAGTATCTCCAATGTAAAGAAATGAATATTACAACTGAGATATAAATTTGCAATTGGCTCATTCGACTGAGGAGTAGAAATAATGCTCTCTTCATATGTATTTGCTTTTTCTAACCAAATGTAAAAACTATGAGATTTAATTCATGTTAGAATTGAATTAATGTTCAATAATGATAGGTTAGTTTCAACTGATATAAAATCCATTTACAGAGACATTTGTATATAAAATATATCTGGTGTCAACTTTTAATGTCCCACATGATAATGGGATTTTAATTGAGAAATATTCATAAATAAGTATATAATAGTTGTCATATTATCTAAAGTCAAGTATCACTCCTATTTTGTTTGGCTTTGCCTAAATCTTTTTCGCGACGAGCGAGTCTACTGACAAGTTCTTTTTGAATTTCAGCTTGTTTCCTAGATTCAATTAGAGAGTCCACTGATCTCAAACCATTGACAATATCTCTTGTCTTTCCAAAATACACTTCTTGAAGAGAATTACGCATTTTCAGTTCCATATCTTCAATTATACGTCCAATATTAGCGATATGGGCCTGTGGTTCATCGTACGGATAGTCAGCCTCAGTCTACACAAATGTTGCAATTTTAGAACCAATAATGAGTCACAAGAATCAACTAAAGCGCATGTTTCACATAAATCCAGCAACTACAGAGCGCTTACTTGTCTTGTCATGCTGCCAGAGAGATTCAATTTGCCTGTTTCATCTCTATCGGTGATGGTATAAAGCATTATTGTTGATGTCAACTTGTAGTGTGCATTGCGTCCTCTCTCCGTAGCTCTAAAAACATGAATAGAATCCCATGCACCTTTCATCTTTCTTCCATCTTCGCCGACTGAAATGGTCAAGATCTAATACTTAGTATCCATCTGTGGAAATAGTGCAAGACACTAGGGAATAAAGTGATAGACATCTGACCTTTTTTGAAGAGAACAGCCCCAGCAAATGCATCATTATCATCATCCCAAAAATATGCAGAAGACACACCTTTTTCGTAATACCTAAAATAACATAGTAAGATGAAAAACACGATAGGATCGAAAGATACGCACGCGTATGACCAACGTATCTTGAACCAAAACACCACTACTGAATCAATCCTTACATTTCTCTATACGTATCGAACGCTTCATTAGCAGCTATTTCTAGCCTGCGTAATTTGGGGGAAGGTACAGGGCTTTCCATTGAAGGAGGGTCATACTCGTTGGACCAAGGAGATCTATAGCAATGGCAATGATAATTATGTCAATAAATATATAAGAGTTGTACTGTCATACATTTGGAACTAATTATCGTTTCATTCGTCAGTAATAGTAGTAGTCACATTTTTTCAAACTTAGGAAGAGCGAGAAAATGACACTGAAATGTTGACCTACGATAACCTGAACGCGATGATAACAAAAACACACACACCACACACCATACACATACACGCAAACACCACGCACACGCACACGCACACGCACACCACACACACACACATATTGTATAAACTAGTTTCGATGTATTGCTTGAATTACTTACCTACACGAGTCACCGTCCCTGTTGAACTCGGATACAAGATAGTCTCTACCTTTAACCTTGCATCTCTGGACTTTAAGTGGCTGGTCAACATTGTTGAGTAAATCATCTTGAAGGTGAGGAGCTAGATCTATTAACTGGGACAAATTCTCTTCCATGTTCTGAGGTGGAAGACGGCGCATGAGGTCCAAAGCACAATCAAATTGGTCGCCCTGTATTTACAAACGCTTTACATAAGTAATAAAGTTATATACATATACTTTTTTTTCCCCTCATTTTGACTTTCACTTTTCACTTTCGCTCTTTTATATAGTATTATGAACTAGCTAGGCCTTTGCTTGCGTTGGTAGAATGACCACGTTCTCGTAACTGACCATCTTGTGTGTCATTAACTTTTGAAAAAATTTCTGAATCGATGACAATTGTGCAGTTTCTGGGCAGAGATACCCTGTGCCTGCTGTAGGTAATAATCTATGGGTCTGGTGGCAAAAGGGGGAGATCGTATTGGTGGCCGCAAAGTCATTCACGAATGATCGGTCGCGATTGTTTCTCACGACATCTCGTGCCATGACTATTTATACAAACAGACAAGGGAAAGCACCATGAAAAGGATGATAAGAAGCAGAGATTTTTTTTTTGCTCCGCTTCTACATCATTATGTTCCGAAATTGAATGATGCATTGCCACGTTGTGCGATGTCTAAACTTTGTATATGTTTTGGATCGAAGCAAAAATGGGAGCGCACAGAATAAAGGGCGTTTGTACGCTATTGTTTAGATTGGAATACTGATGTAATGACAGGTTTCGAACAGTTTGGTCCTGCATACATGATTGATCGTCCCACTATCTGCCCCTTTTTTTTAAGATGAGTGGGGTTTTTTGTTTGTATCTACATCGCATCGCTGTAGCATCTGACGATGTTGCCTCTTGTATAACATTGATTAAGATGCATGGGGAAGAGGGAGTCAGGCAAGGTTTAAGTAATATTGCCAGTAATAAATACCAGCCTGAACATCATTGTCCTGTCACAGTTACTTGCACAATAAATCCGGTTTGATAAAATATCCCATTGTAAGGGAGAAACAAATGATCCAAATTCGTAACAACAATGAGATAATATAATTCACCGATCTGTGTTTTCGCTCGTGAATTAGATACTAGCAATAACTTTCTTATAAAAGGGGCCACTAGGGCTATATTAAAAGCAAGTATATACTGGATGTCAAAAAATCAACCTTCGAGCTACAGTATGGTAACATATCAATAGTACTTTTCTCCGGAGAGAATCAAGGCTCCATCAAGCAATGCCCGGAGAAAGATTCCCCGAGCGCCATTTTCATCTCGATCCATTACAGTTCCACAATTCCGGCACTTGTACACCTCGGACCCTCCTATTTTTGAACAGCTGCAAGTTTTGGTATAGTAATAGGCCTCGTTTTGGATAATAACACGAACCCCTAATTCTTCTGCTTTAGCCACCAGGCGGTGGCGAAATTGATATTAATAGTGGCCCCAGCAGAGCATTTGAGAACCGTTTTTCGTGTTATTTTTCTTGTTTTTCGATTTATCATATTCGACACCTCAAAAGGAGGGATGATAACGGCATCGAATTTGCGAGTGAAAAATGCGACACTTTTTTTATAAAGTTCGCTTTGCAGGTGTTTGACTTTTCGTCGCATCCAAGAGATTGCCTTATCAAGTCGCGAGGCCTGTTTCTTCTTACGTTTCGAGCCAGTTTGTCCTTTACAGAAAGGAGATTGCCCATGTCGTATTACCTACGCCTCTTTGGTGGGAGAGTACCAGGTGAGGGGTGTACAAACGCCAGGATCGATGGAAACTGCATGAATATCCGCTTGGGTTTCGCGAAGTTGTTTTTGCGTCTCGTAAACCCACGAAAATTTCCACTCGTTGGTTTTGCGAATATATGTAAGCTTACAGTCGGACGTTATTTTGTGAGGAACAGGTCACTTATTATTACAAGTGGCTCTCGATATAAGAACCCTTTAATATAAGAAATTTTCGATATAAGAAAGTATTTTTGCTGGACCCGATTTAAAATCTTATAACAAATGACTCTCGTTATAAGAGATTTTCGATATAAAAAAGGAATTTGTTGGGCCCCGATCACTTTCGTATATCGAGAGCCACTTGTACTATTACGCCTTTTTTTTTCGAAATGAAGTGGCCACAAATCGCGTTTTTCGTTCAGAGTGATAATAGGCTTATGGCGGGGTGCGGAAAGCATGACATAGAATCGGTTCCACGTGGATTTTGAAAAGTTCTGCGCGCGAATACGAATTGTCATTGTTTGTCGCAAATCTTTTCGGAATCGAAATGACAAAGATGAACTTTTTTGCTGATTCGTGGTTGATCCTATATTTTGATTGATCATCTCGTCCCTAGCAGTTAACGCTTTATCAATCGCCTCGTCGATAATGTTTGCAGGCGCCTTGCCCGTGTGTGCCTTGAAGGAGCATTCCAATACGCACGACTGTTCGCATGAATTTGTGTTCACCCCATACACATGATCTTTGTAGTCTCTTATCCTCACGCTCATTAACGTCTTTTCCTACACGAACGTAAAGTTTAAGCTTATCTTCAATGGGTTGAGATTTTAGCCAAACCCGTCGTGATGGACCAGAATGCAAATTTTTTGTATGGAAATGGCGGTATCGACTCCAGCGGACAACTGCATTATAGGCATATCTTGACAAGCCCATCCACCGTTTCAATAGCTGTTTTTGAGGGCGATCTGGATATACTTTTATTGGCAGCGTACAGTTGAGGGCTTTCAAGTGTTGTCGTTTGTTGTGTGCTGCTGTTATGTTGTCCTGATTTTGTACTTTTCCCCTTGTTTAGGGTTCTCGTCAGGCACTCTTCTTCCTTGCTCGCCGGAGGTCGCTTTGTTGATGAAAGCCATAAGTTTTGTAGTATGGGGGGAGTGGATGAGGTTGTGGCAGAGTCGGTCACAATGGGCAACCACAATTCCGAGACCATGCTGCGACTTTTCCGTTCCACTTACGTTTATAGGTTGCGGAGCTGACGAGTTATTCGAAGGTTGCGGAGCTGAGGACCTCCTTTTGTATGGACCCTTTTTTGGCGGCGGCGGCGGCGGTGGTGTTGTTGTTAGCACTGAGGGGAGAGATTATGTGTTTATGATTTGGATTTTCAAATGAGCAAAATATTGCAATGGTTAAAAGAGCATGGGGGATAATGTCTTTAAATATGTTTATGGTTGTCGGCATTTGAATGGCGGAACCGAAAACATGCATAAAACATGCAATCTTATATGGAGACGCGCATAAAACGTGCAATCTTATATGGAAGCCTACGCGCATAAAACATGCAAACACAGACTATATGATGGATCGCGGTCACAAATCGTTATTATTGGTCACATTTGCTGCACACGTATCTTAATAGACACTTGCAATTCCATGCAATTCGAATTTTTTTGATGCGTTCCGTTGTCTTTGTAAATATATTAGAGGGTTAAACAAAATTGATATTAATTTTACATTAACTCCGATTATAACATCGTAAAATCCATCCTAAATTTTCTATTAATTAAAATTATTACGATAATAAAACAGCCATCTCCACAAAAATCAAAATGCCTTCGCGTTTTGAAATCACGTGCATGTGACAATTATCACCTGTCAAGAAAATATTTTGCCTCTGATATGAGCACTATTACTGTATATGCAAAATCAGCATATAATCATTTATTTCCCCAATACAGATATGAACACACTGGTTAAAAGTCAGTACTGTAGTTGCGTTTTTTTGAGATACCCGGGATACGTCCATTCAGTTGCCTCAAAGTATTGTTGGGCTGTAAAATGATAATAATAAGACCATGTCAAGTCAAAACGAAAAATTAAGTGATTGACATACCAGCATGCTTGTATGTAGTAATGAAGAGAATTTTATTCATTGCCAGTATAAATTGGTTGTGGACAAGTAATGTCTTTAAATTCGTCTCTAACAATATTATGATAAAGATATTCTTTTATAATCCAAAGGAGGAGGGGTTGGTACCAGGAACCAGGATGGAAAAGGATTTAATTTCTTTGGCAATTTCGGAAACACTTGTTTTTCTAGTTTTCAACAAATTAAATTCTGCATAAGCACCATTAGCAACCAGCTGGGTTTTGACAAATAGAAAATGCTGATATTTTTGCAAACCATTTAAATTTTTAAAAAAAATTCCCAATATAAATATAGCATTAAGATCTGAATATCGAAACCCTTTCCATTGCCATAACACTGAGTCTTGTTTAATCCAACTGTAGTTAATTTTTTCACAACCTCAACGATATGATCCACGCAATCTACTGTTGTCTTTCTATAGAACTTTTTAATTAATCCAAAACTTCCAACACACTTGAATTTAGTGCGTCCAGGTACCATAAAATTTAATTCAGTACTTTCATAATAACCGCCAATTACTAAATATAGGTAAAATCAAATGGTAGCATTATTCTTATTCTGACCTCCTGCATTATCACAAGTAATCTTTAGACATTTTTGGCCTTTATTAAATTTTTTTATTCCGCCGAATACCATGTTCAGTGTGCCATTAGGGCCTTTTCTTATAATTTCGTCCTCATCAAGTACGTAATTAATTTGCTCGCGTACTGCTTCATCTTGAATACCAAATAAATGCACTTTACGTGGACCAAGATAATAGATCTTACTTACTTGTTGATCGGAATGGGGCCGTAACTGTTAATGAGCAGCTTTGCCTCTTGTTATAAAATAATCATTTCTGTTGTTCTGCTAATTTCGTATTTTTATTGTAATAATTTCTCTTCGACTTGGCTGTTCTTTGTATTTTTTCAGTAAATCTTTCGCTTCTTTTTCCTTACGAGAATTTCCATTCCGAAAATGTTCACATTAATCTGTTCTTGAGTTCATAATTTGAATATAAAGTGTTAATTGGCGCCATAACTTGCGGGATGCGTCATATTTTAACAATTTCAACGTGCTACCGTTTTCGAGACCTGCAATAAAATCACGATATACAGTAACTCGATTTTTTGCTGGTAAAAATACGAGCGATTTGAGTAATGTGAGTAACATTTCTACCATAAACACGCGGTATTAAATGCTTTAACGGGACACTCTTTTCTCGAAAAAAATAAACGCAAGTTGAACTTTAGCTAAACCACCCAAATTAGAGCAATGAAAATCAGAAGCAAACGAAGATGGGCCAATTACACGTGGTTACTCTCGGTTGAACCAACCTTGATCAAAGAAAAACGTGGAAATGACGGCATTATCACCATTAAAAATTTAAGATGCCCCAACATTATGGCCAAAGAATTCTTTTATTTAGCATTATTCTTTTATTGGATAAATGTGTCATTCCTTTGCATTGTTTGAACCGTATATCTACTCGAAGTTGACCCCACACTCGACGAGTGACACAGTGACATTCTTATCAACATTTCGTTTTTGTAGGATGTAAACATTCCCCTTTACGTCTACTACATTACACAAATATAATAATAACGAAAGAATCGGTCTAACTTAATTGGGCCTTAACAGGTGAAAGTTATTGTTTATTTGGACGAGAACCGATGTAAATAAACTAGCCAGGGGGTCAGACGCCACATTCTGGAGCTAAAACGTGTGTCCGCTATTGGATATCTTTGAAGAAACAAATCAAGAGTAAATAAGTAAACCTTTTTTGATTACAGAGAGCTATTAACAAACTTTTGCAAAGTCATTATCATACATAAATCTTATACTCATGGCCGCTATTAGTTCTCCTTGGTACCCGGGTTCAGTTTCTGATGCAGTGGCGGAAGCAAATTCAAAGAATGCCGTGTTCCTTGTGTATATATATGGTCAGAGTTATTTACTATTCTTCGAAAGAGCCTAGGCAATATTCTTATTCGTAATAATTCTTTGTTATGTAAATTATAGATGAAAGCGAAGATGGTCAGCGCATGACTGAAATAACTTCACGACCCAAGGTAGTAACTTGCTTTTATCGTATAGCAAAATATCATACGTTCCATGGACATAACAAATTAATACATTGTGATGTATTTGTTCTCAAGGCAGCAGCAGCCATCAAAGAAAACACAGTCGCATTGAAGCTCGCTCGCGTTTCAGAAGAGGCGAATTTGTTTGGTCAACTTTGTGAGTATTGGAGATCTAAAGGGGGAAGGGGTTTGCTGTATCGAAATTAAAATGACATTACTGATTCCTGAATTTCTCACTTGATATAATTTATTTGTGACTTAGTCCCCATTGTACAAGTACCATGCATATATATGATTCGGTAAGAGAATGTCCCGTCTGCTGCCAGCATCACTGGATTTTCTTTTTCCATATCTATTTTTCCGTACAACGTTAATTTCTTGTCGTCAGTTCTGGAGCGGTATGTGACTACGCATCAGGCATTGTTACAGAAGACGATCTTGTCATGAAGATATCTCAGGCTTCCAATACGACTATGGGCGCGAACACGTCGTCAGCAAGCACAACGACAGCAGAAGCGTTATCAGGAGCAACAGCATCAGCGGTATCACTGGCCGATTCACCCTCGGTGCCATCGTCATCTGATAACCAAACAACGCCAGCCATAATAGTATCGGAAGGTCAGGGCTCAAATCAACAAGATGAGAAAAAGATTAAAGCTGATAAGTAAGTTCCTCGTGCATACGAGCAAAGTGGATTGTGTATGTGTCATGAAAGTGGCGGCAAAAAGAATTAATATTGATAAATGACAAGGTCAATTCAGTGTTATTATAGTCTATACTGATACATTGGTTATCTCTTATTACTAGAGCGAAAAAACTAGTCGAAGAACGACGCCAGCAGAGAGAGAAGGAAAAACAAGAGGTTTGATTAACAAACAGGACATATTCTGGATCTGTTTTTACTGCCTGCTTGCTCCTTCTTTCTCCAAACTACGTATTAATATATAAATCTTCTACCATATAATATCAGGCTGACAAACAGCGCGAATCCAATCGGCGTGCGCAAGGTCGTACGATGCAACAAGCGTACGCACATCATGAAGATGCAAGAGATAAGAAAGCGGCAGAAGACTATGCGAGGAAACGAAAAGAGGAAGCGGAAGCCAGACGTCGGGTGAAGGAACAAATCGAAGCAGACAAGGTCGAGAGGCATGCGAGAAAATTAGCCGAAATAGCTTCGAGACAGCAACAGCAGCAACTAACAGAAGGAGAATCGCATAAAGCGTGTGTAGATAAACAAAGCAGTTCGTTGAGGTTTGTTGGGAGTTTTGGTATTAAACCAAAAAAAAGGGGGGGTTGTTATCATAGGTGGTCCTAGCCATTGACCAAGTTTGATACTTTTGATTTTTTAGTTATGAATATTGTGATCTTAATATACGTTTGCTTGACGGAGATACAATACGTAATAAGTTTGGCACGTCGACGACTTTGCTGGATGTTACAAAATGGGTTGAAGAGGTTGGATCATTGATTCCATTATCTTTTTTTTATTTATTTATTCTATAATATCTCAATGTAAACCGTGTTGATCTATATACTTACTGCTATTACTGTTGTTTTGCTTACTCTTAACTTTGAACCATTCGATTCTACATCCAGTTCTAAATTTTTCTTCTTCTTTCATTCACATGTTTTCTTCTATGAATTTTTTTTTATTTATGTGTCTTTTACGCGGTCCACTTTCCGTAAAAGAATCGAACAGATGGGACAGCACCATTTTCTCTGATTCAGCCATTTCCATATCGTCAATTCACTGCCGAGGAGAAGCTGTTGACCTTATACGAGCTTAACCTTTGTCCCAACGCTACATTAATATGTAAACCAGCAAAGGTTGTTGTTGGCACATATGATCCAGCAGGAAATACTTGGAGAATATTAGAGTACAGTTTCAGGGCTGTTGGAGGAATCATGGGAAATATCATAGGAATAGTGTGGAATGCATTAGGATATTTAAACCCATTTAGCTATTCTCAGCGTGCGAATCCAAACAGAGGAAGAAGAGCAAACGGGGTAGATGGAGCAACGAGCGAGCGGCAGAAACAAGAACAAGCGCGATTGTTGAGAGAACAGCAGCGACGCGAAGAAGTGGCAAATAGTAGTAGTGTTGTTGAGGAAGTGGAAATGAGGTGGGTATTAATTAGACGAAACGAATGTTGTTACAGGAATCGATGGTCGCAAAAGCTGAAATATAACATTTATTATTTTATCTCGTAGACGTCGATGGGGGGACAATGTTAAGACATTGTCTCGTGATGGCGATGAAGATGATGAAGAAAAGAGACGATGGACTTACAACGGCAATTCCACCAATCAAGAATGACACCTAATTAATACTTGTGTCATTGAAATGTGAATCTTTTGTTACAAATTTATTATCTAATGTTTTTGCTTTACTTTTTTACGCAAAAAAATTTTTTTCCTTTTCATTTGATTTTGTGAATATCATTGTTTGGTGACTGACCAGATAATTTGAAGAACATTGGTGATCATATGGTTATGCTAATAATCTTTCTAATGTTTGGTTGTCTGTTGGCAAAGAGAATGATTTAGCCTAGGGCTTTGTATTTGGTTTTTTGGGTTTTTTTTTTGTTATATATTGGTCTGGCCAAATATTATTAAGGCAAAAAAAAAAAAAGTTCTCTAGCTATTGACAAGAAAGCAACTTTAAATTTTCCGAAGAACGTTCTAGTTGTAGTTGGTATTAAATATTAAAATGAATATTCTATATACATGGAGGAAAGAAATCTAGTCTCAAATCACATTACCCTTCTGATCTTAATAATGAAAACATGGTAAAGGGGTTTAATATGGACACCAGTTTCATTCTTACAGTATTCTCAACAATTGTCTCCCCAAACCGACATTAATATGGGAACAATTTTTTCTCTTTTAAGTTGGACTGTAATCATAGTTCGATTGTTGGTTTTATTCGTATTCTATTTTATGTTTGCTTGAATAATCATACAAGAGCCAAGAAAATATTATCACTATATTAAGAGTTAGTGATAAGACTGTCAAAATAGCTTTATATTAATAAAGAGTGCTTGTATATGTGTCAACATAGTATTGCACAATTTCTATGTTATCATTCAATTATCCGTGGCATTTCAATAATATTTTCGGAACTGTAAATAATCTCGCCCGTTTACCTAATTATTTGTTGGATTGACCTAAAATCAAGACTGCGTATTTGTTATTGTGGCGATCCATTGGGCTTTCGATCTTCGACTTTTTTGTATAGATAAATCAAATAGTAGGAAGCTTCAACGGCTTTCTGTCATATTCCGTAATATTGTTGATTTATTTTTTTTTCTAGAACATTCATTGTAAAAATTGTGGATCAATATTCTTACTAGTGACATTTTACATGCATTGTTCACTCCCTTTTCCAATCATACTAAAAAGGAATAGTATAATATATTATGCATAAGCTCAATCAGAACACAAAAAAACCTGTTGGCGATCAGTATCCATACCATGATCGATACGGGGCTTTTGTAGCAAGACTGGCTTGTTCGGTTATTTCAATTAGACTCGTAGACACGCTCCCCATCCATCTTTATAATATTCTTCGGGAGCTGACAAATTTTATTGAAATTACAGTGCAGAACATATACGCTTTGAAGCCAAGACTCTTAATAATTCGAGCATCTTTATCGTACCCAGCCAGCCAAAGACTCGATGATGATATGAAATAACAGTTGTTTGTTTTGTTTTTTTTTACAACAGTCTTTAGCATCGGATAACTTTGCTTTTCGATGTCCTTCTCAAGTTTGCTGAATAAGCAACATAATCTGGCAATTTCTTTTGGCTGTATATTATCTAATATATCACAGACATATTTATACAGTGATTATTTTAAAAAGCTTATTTGCAATGACGGTTGACGCCAACTGTCTAGACCAGAGTTTAACCAAAGTAAGTATGCAAAGGTCGTCATAAATTTGTTACAGTCGCGCCATAGTTAGTCAACAAGAATCGATTTTTATTACCTATGACCGCGTTAACCAAGTCAACTTTTGAAACCCATTGTCACGATAATTCACAAATACAATCTATTTCATTTACTCGTCTCACAGACTTTTTTAAATCAAAAAGTCATTTATTCGACTTGTTTATTCGACTTGGACATACCTCACAGTTTACTTTACTTGGACCGGGAACCAAACTTTCCCCCAGCCCTCGCACTGGTGGTGAGATCACGTTGTACAGGTTGGCCACGATGTTTGGCATAAAGAGGCTGTCATATGCTATTCGTAGGTACGACTCTTATAACCGTTCCTACTTTTGCATTTTTTGTAGTATTAATGGTAATGATCGGTGGGAATGAGTAGCATTTCTGCATAATATGTGTGATAAGACGCAAAGCATGATATGATACGATATGCCTTTATCATACGATGATGGTTTTTATTTTTAAACTTGCTCGTTCGATTTTGCGACATGAATTAGTGGGAATTGGCGACAGGGTTTAACGATAACTGGGCCAATACTAAGTAGCCTCTCTATCTAACAAATGAGACAACATGCCCACACACATAATGTTAGGTGGTTTTATATTTTGCAATAAAATTTGTATAACAAACCTGCATACCCTTTAACAAACATGGCATGGGCGTGGGAAGCTACGAGAGGGGGCTATTACTATGGGGATACAATCAAGAGCGGAAAGCGAGAGAGAAGCAATGATAAGAACAAAAAGAATAAAGTAGGAATAGTGGCCGAACAAGCAGATAACGACAACCTCATATTTCTTTATTCTAATTTAGCCTCAATGTTTATTATTATATCAACGTACAGTAAAGTACATGTACATCATGTTGTATCATTGTCTAAATTTGTGATAACAGCGTACTAACTTTTTTTATTTGGATACACTAACGCCTTCTTAGGTTATTGTTGTAGTATTGTTTATGTATTAATTATGCGAGTTCTCCTTTGCAAGAAAGCTTGTGACGGCAATACTAATTAATACAATAGACTGGGTATGACCAAAGTGAAAAGAATGCCCCCACCTTTTCCCCCCGATTCTTTTGCTTTTTTTGTAAGTCTACAATTAGCGAAACCTGGCAATTGAGCTCATGACCACTAAACGTAAAAACAAATGCTGAACGTACTAATTGCTAATTCGTTCATTTTGTTTCTTGGGAAGCAAAGCAAACAAGTGCAGACATCACCTGAGCAGTAGCAACAATGATGGTGACAATAGTTGGTATATTCGAACATACTTTTCCGTTTCACAATTTCTATTTTACCCACGCAATTAGAATTCCTTTACTCTGCATAATCGCCAGTTCAGGATTAAACACTTTTGTAAATATCGTAATGTCGGATCACATTTTAAAAAAGCGACACTATTCATGTGATGTCTAAACGCCACAACCACTGATAACAATGTTGCATCAATATATCCTTTTATTACAATTCCTTTGTCGCTTGTCTGTATATATAAAGCATGGTCTAACCCACACGAAAACCAGAAAATATCGTCTGAAACTGCAATTCTCGTAAACTGTTTAAAAATAAAAAAAAGAGCCCTGACCACACAGACTATAAAGAAAAAAAGAGCACTATCCTCTCCTTTTACTCACTTATCGAAACCAAAAAATGACATCCAATCTTCCTATCATGTTGGCAAGAAACTTTCTTGGCGTGGTTCGCGCCAACTACGAAGACGACGACTCTAGCTCTTCATCTCCCGCTTCTCCCACCTCTCCCACCTCTCCCACCTCTTCTTCCGCGCCTGCGTCACCCAATACCACCACTCCGACGTCCTCTTCGTTACCCAACGCCGTTTCGAGCTTCTTCTCGGGACAACCCACTATGCCTCAATTCCACCGTCGAGCCTCCGAGAGCGGGCCCGCCGACAGTACCATAGTCGAACCCAAAAGGCTACTTGCGCGTAGGTATACGCTTCCTCCAAGAATCGATCCATTTGCAAAGTTTGGAACCCTGCAAGGCGAAGACAAGGGAAACAGAGTGCCTATGGCGAGGTTCTGGGAGGCTGGTGGTAAAGAAGACTCATCCGTTCAACTTGCTATGGTAAATATTGCACACGTCTGCTAGTAATAGACGGTATGGACGAGCTTGATATTAATTGAACATTTTAATTTTATTAGGAACATGTTCAATTCGGGTTCTAAACACAGCCAAAAACAAAAGAACCAACGACAATCAATTAGAGATAAAGTCAGTTGTAACTGGACTGGCCGGGCTGGGCTGATATGGTCAACCTGGCTGGGCTGAAATGGTTCGGGGCTGTAATCTCTATTACCTATGGCATTATTGATGTTCTAACAACGACCTATAGAATATACCGACCGGCTGATGGAAACTTTGGCTCTCTCAACATGGTAATCGTGCAGTCATTACGGTGACTGTTCAGATGAAAAACACTTGTATCGACTACATCAAGAATCACTCACATTTGAAAGATGTATATTTCGTAGTAAGCGCGAGAAACTGTAGCATAATGCAATGCTTTTTGGTCCAACTTATACTATATTTCACACTATATATATATATACATATATACATATATACCATACAACTTCCTTTTAGTATTTACACGCTTTTCTTGTATATAGGTTTTTGGCATCACATCCACCCTTTTCTTATAACCGTAATGGTTTCTGCGAACACTTGTAAAACGATGGATATTACATAAAGAAACAGAATTGGCTTACTGTAACTAGTTGTAATCCCGTTAGTATGTGATATATAACATTTAATTCCCGAATTATGTGTGTATGTTACAGACGGTGATGACCCATCGCTATATTGAACCTGATTTTCCGATGTTTGTAATGTAAAAGGAGAGAAAGTTTTTGGTTGTAGCAGGGAAATCTGAACATTTACTTTTTTTTCTTTTTCTTTTTCTTTAATTTAATTTATTTTCTTATTGGGTTTTTCGTTTAATATTGGTTCTCGGGGGAAAAAGATTTGTAATGTACTCGTATCGTAGCCCCCGAATTGGTTGCAAATATAATAAAAAAGAAAATATGCAGTTGTCTTGGGCATTTCCAATCAGTATCGTGTACAATTTGTTCACACTTGTCTCCGACTATACACGATTGTTAGGTTATAGCATACTTTTCCCTATATAACATATATATAACTTTATCGCGTTGTCCCGGAACAAACACTTTTAGACAGTCATTTCGTCATAACTAAATCCTGGTATTATTACAAGTATTGTCGTGAATGAATTGTAAACGGTAAGCTATTGTTACGTCGAACGTAACTAACTAATTGACGCCTTTCCTCGATCCCCTTTTTTTATCAGAAAGCTTATTTAGTTAACAAAGAACGCGTCAGCCGCATGATTCCACCACCCCCCGAACTTTCAGCAATGCAAGGTAATTTGTATGCATCTTGAGATGCTGTGTGTGGGGAATTTATTTTAACCGAGTGTTCGCTGCCCTAATTAATATTAATTACGTTCTCTCTCCGCAATTCCCTACAGTTGGGAAATGTTACGCAAAACTTACGCAAAACTTTCACGCTGATTTGGAAAGGGGGAAGTGTGGGGTGTGGGAGATGGGAGATGGGAGATGGGAAATGGGAAATGGGAAATGGGAGACGGGAAATGGCAAACAACTTGTGTGCGTGCTTGAGAATGAGCGCCAAACCGAAAAATACACATCAAATATGAATGACAAAGTATTCCACATTTTTATTCCTTGCATCATTGAAAAATTCAGTTTCAAACATCCAAAAAAAAAAAAGCTAAAACAAATAAAAATAACAAATAATGAGCCATTCGACTGTACCACTTGCAGGATTTCTGCCAAGTTTAACACAAATCTCTACAAGTTCAATACTGAAAAGGTAAAAAGGTATAGAAGAGATACATGAATAATAAGTAGAAACATTTCCATAATATTTCTATCATGGAAGGTATAGAATATAATAAATGGTGCGAAAATATAGTGAAAATGATATGTAAAACTGAATAATAAACGAGATAATAAACTAGATGCACGACGTCTGGATAATAAAAGCCGTAAGTCGAGGAGGGACAGGAATTTCATCACCTCACAACCACTACAACCTACAACACCACTACAACCTACAACCTACAACACCACTACAACCAACAACTAGCACGAAATAAAAGATAGGAACGAATGTAAAAAGAAATGAAAAAAGAAAATACATACAAGAAATAAAAAAAAAAGGTTTCAAGAGAGATTTTAAAAAAGTGTCCTATTTTCTCGTGGCAAATCTATTTTTACAAAGAATGTTTATGCAAACAAGCTTAGACCTCATCGATAAAATCGGCAAGCCACTTGACGCGAAAGAGAGAGAGAGAGACATGGAGAGAGAGATGGGAGAGTAAACGAAAAAAATATAATACAAGGAAAGGTAATGGTAGTAGGATGTAAAAGTTCTCTATAAGTAGTCTAGTTTTCATCAATAGTTCAATGTTCGATTAATGTGCTATATGCTATTTCGTCGTACCCAAGTGCGGGCCGGAGGAACTGTACTCGATCTTTTCCTTTTCTTTGCAACCGTCGAGTTTCTTGCACATTTCACTGTACCATCTTTTTCACTACTGCCACTACCAGACCTAATTTTCGCCGTCTTCATTACCCATCCATCAATCTCACCAAACGGTCCTCTGCTCGGACGACGTATTATGACACTGCGCACACGCCGAACATTTTCTTTCTCCTCGGTCATCGGTTCATACGACGTTGAAGGGGTCCAACGGAAGGCTGCCGGGAAAGATCCAGGAATGTCGAGTTCGATTTCATCGTCGTCGATTGGCGATGATAAAAGAGACGCCGAATGATGGTCTTTTGTCAAATTGGGGTCGTTTGCAATGTTCATGCCAGAGTCGTAGCAATTTTCCAAATATTGATTTACCCCCGAGTTTGACGTTTTTCCTATTTGCTTGCCGAATCCAAATGCGTGTTTATCACTTGACCGTTCCATAGGACGCCCATTTATAGACATGGTTCCCTCTTTATTCGATTCCGAGTTTTTGAATGGTCGCTGTCTGACGTGTCCCGCACGCTTCGTATTCCTATTTTTAGTAATCATCAATTCGTCTTCATTATTATCCGACTCTTCTTCTTCTCCTTCGTCTTCACTGCTGTCGAACCAATCTACAATCTCCCATTCTTCTATTTCTTCGCTCCCCTCGTCTTCGTTTTCTTCTTCTATCCAATTTCCATGTCCACTCCATTTACCACTCGTTAGAAATCTTCCACTTCGTTTGCCAAAGCTCCATACTCCCGCTGCACCCTCTCTCCACCAACTTCGTTTTCCTATCCCGCTCCACGCTACGGCTTTTATTTTAGGACGTGTGAGAAAATTGACGTTTTTTTTTTTACCGTCATCAATTGTTCGTGTAGAATCTTGATGAGATTGGTAGTCGTAGGAAGAATTGTAACTTACGTATGGGTTATAGTAACTATTACTGTATCCATTGTTTAGTAGTCCGAATGGTTGAGTAGGTTTCAGCATATCGACCATCCGGATGACTTGCCTACCAGCAACCTCACATAACCAAGCATCCAACACTAGCGAACCGAGGGTAAATAAAAACGTCCAGTACATCAGATTCATGAACGTCCTAGTCGTGCTCGTGACAGTTCTCGGTGCATTAGGATTATTCGTAGCTTGCAGCGATTCTGACATGAAGGAATGTGTTGCGTGCAAAAAGGGTAAAATTATTGCACGAGTGACTAGTCTGCATTGCTGTGCGAAATCATCCAAATCAGCCAAGTCGCCGCTTGGATTGTTGATCAACTCTTGAGTAGAATCAGCATAGTTGACCATAAGTTCTCGTGGTTTGCGAGACTTGTCGTGGGCAACTACCGAGTCCTCATCATCCATAACCTCGTTGATCAAATAAGTCACTTGAGTGAGACTATCATCCAACTGTTTATCGAGGGATGCCATGCAATCTACAAATTCTTCTTCTTTTTTAGATTTTTGACGACGATGTTCTCGTTTCTCGCTCTTGCGTTCACGAGGTGCGACGGCTACACCGACAGGTTCCGTCGCCGCCTTTTTGGTCTCGTCTGCGTTTGGATCCTCTTCTTCAATATCCTCGCCAAATCCTTCCCAATCAAAGTCTTCGAAAATATCTCGCGATTCTATGCTCGTAGTTGACAATTGACGAAACTTTTTTTCTCTGCCCTTGACGGGTGCTTCTACAGCAGTTGTTGCTTCAGTCAAAAGACTCGAAACCATATTAAACATGCGAGCAAATGCGACATCTTCTTCGCCGTTATCGTCTTCATCGTCTTCATCTTTTTCTTTTTCTTCACCTCCGTCTACTTTTTCTTCGTCATCTTCTTCTTCGCCAGTTGTCTCCTCGTTGATAGGTGGAATAACGGATTGTTTTGGTTTTGATGCTTTCATCAATGGAGACGTTGGTAACGAGGGAATATTTTTCGGGAACGTCCCCGAGAGAGAAGGAGCGCGTGCTGGAGATACGGCACGAGACGGTACTCTGGAGGAAGGACGGGATGGTGCTCTGGATGGAGCTCTGGATGGAGGACGAGATGATTGTCTTGATATGGTATGTGATGGAGCCAAATAAGTCGCCGGGGCTGTAGGTGAAGGCGATAAATGTGATGTAGTCTCTTCTTGTGATTGTAGTTGGATGGGTTTGTACAGAGCTGTCATTTCCAAGTCTTCTAAATTTACGTCTGGTTTTATGAGGTTTGCCGCGGCTGCCAATCTTTCGTCGAGTTGTCGTTTGATTTCACTTGATGCGATGAGATTCTCGGTGAGTGCCTGGGGGTGAGATAATTACAAAAGGAAATTTGTTATGAACGTTCAAATTCGTAAACTCTTTGAAATGCTCGACCAATCGATGCTTGTTAAAAGTAAGCATTTACCTTCATGGTGACAACTTGCTTCATGACTTCTTCGCTTGTTATTGTTTCTTGCTTGTCTTGCATCTTTTTAAGAACGTTTTGGACACTGATAATAGAGAAACATATGGTTAATAAGACGGTAATGCATGATGATGACATCAGCATAATACGACTTGCGCGCGCGCGACTTACTCTGACAATTGAGACTTGAGATCATGCATAGAGGACGTTTGATCGCTGAGTATAGTTTGTAGTGACGAAACTAGAGATTCTAACTGCGTCATCTACAAAAAGCGAACAAGATGATGTCAGCAAACTGATAGACTATAATTGTGTAACAATACGATTATGTAATAACAATAACAAGTGATGAACGGGTGGTGGGGAAGTGGGGGAAAGGGAAAGGGAAAGGGAAAAAGGACAAGCGCGAAAGAACGTTTTCGCAAAGATAAACAGGGATACGTCTTTGAACCTCTTGACGGTATCGACTCTGTCATAGTTGACAGTAACATCCTAATAATAATAAGGCATTTATAATCACAACAATTGTTCACATGCATACCTTATCGAGCATTTCACCGTCCTTGATAACCGTGTCATGATCCGTAAGCATTTCACGACCTTTTTGGAGTAACTGTTCTAGATCCAAAGTGTCCCACTGTGAGTATGGAGGTGGAGGAGTCTGCAATTCATTGGGGGCCTCCAAGTCCTGTTTCAATTTATCCACGATTGCAGTGGGTTCTTTGGGTGCAGCAAGTGCATTTTCATCCTTGTTGTTCTCTGCGAGGTTTGTTGGCTTTTCTTTAATGTCGACTATTGGAGTTGCAGAGATGATAAGCTCTGAGAGCAGTTGGTCAGTTTGTTCTGAGAGCAGTTGGTCAGTTTGTTCTGCCATGGTAATTGTGGTTGAGCAGAAGATATGATTCCGTTGTTGTCGTCGTCGTTATTGGTATCAATTTTGTAGTAGCTAATTGACTGTTGGTTATATGTTATAAACTTGAAATTATTGATATGCTCGCCCAGCGAAGATATAGTGATAATTTTTTTTCCAGGTTTTTTACAAGTGTATATTACAGTAGAATAGGTACGAGCAATGAATGTAATTCACTTTTAGCTGGTAAACGCGTTAATTTTGTCTTGTAGTTTCCTTTCTTTTGTCAATTATTTTGTTCAGCGTCTACAATCGAGTTTAATGACAGGCCCTTAATATTTTTGTTATAAGTCTCCAGTTATATGTAAGTATATATATATGGAACGGTGTATATATATATAAATTTTATATATCTATGTGAATTGTAGTTTTTTTTTTTTGGAGGGTTTTGTTTGAACGGGAAAAATTTTTTTTAGAGAGTTTTAAATTATATGGTATTATATATATAGATGTCTACTGGATAGCGGGCGAATTTGTCCTTTTTTTTTTCCCCTCAAAGGTCAAAGGAACAAAACGGGGGGGATGGAACTCAAGCACGAGAAGAAACGGTTAAAAGGACGGACAGGGAATTCGTAATCAGCTGGGATGAAAAAAAAAAATAATCCGGTAATGGGGACTTTGTGTTAGGGAAATCTTCTTTTTTGTCGATGATATGTACGAAAACTGCTTACGGGGATTGACATTAGTATAAATGGGGATGAGGGAGGGGGAAGAGGGAAAGGGGGGGGGGGTCGGGTGATAGAAGTGATATGATATAATTGAATAATACAATGTTTTAGTTCGAATAGTCACATTTACATATGATATTCATATTAATCCTGTTGCATATCATATGTACAACAATCTTGTTTGTCTTATTATTATTGCGGAACGTTGCTGGAACACAAAACTGATGACGTTTTATCAGGGATTGATGTTGGCACTTTGAGTATAGTCAGCCACACACACAGACTGATAGTGTGCAATGACTTGCATATGAAGAAAAGGGGGCCTACATGATCATGATCATGATGATGATGCTGCTGTTGTTATTGTTGTTACTGTTATTGCTGTTAGCTGTTACTGTTGCTGTTGCTGTTGCTGCTGTTATTGTTGATGTAGTTTTGTATTTTGTAATGGAGTAGTGGTGATGCTGATAATGCTGATGAGGATGTGCGAGTGCTAAATATAAAGAGAGGAATATAATGGAATACAGTAGAATATAATGGAAATAGTAAGCGTATATAATAATAAACACACAGCGTATATAATAATAAACACACAACCTGCATAAAATAAATATAAATAACTTGCATACAATATATTGTACGTTCTATTATATATCGTCCTATCGTAGCAAGTGTCAGTTTGTCTTGTGTTGTTTGGCCCTTGAAACCCAACATTCTGACAATTTGTGACAATTGCATCGGCAAAGTGCGACATTGACCTTGTAGCAAAAATGACTCCACTGTGCATGTGCTCATCTTTACAAACACCACATCGACTGCGCAAGCTGCGAATTTGAAACTGCAACGAAAAGTAAAATAATACAACAAAACAAAATAAATAAAATAAAAAATTAAAAACACTCGTCTCGTCTGGAATTCTCTTGGAATTATAAAGCATAGAATTATCGCTCTTGTATTAAACCAATTATAGAGACTTTTGTGTTTCCCTCCCCTCCAAACTCTCTCGCCTTTTTTCTTTCTTCAGGAGATGTGTTCTTCGTCGCACTATCTCGGGCCATTTTGTCCCTCCTTGATGACACAGCCTTTTTTACATAGAATGGATAACAAATACAGTGACAAGATAGACTGATATCACGGATAAGTGATTATTGGGCGATTATCAACCAATGCCGTTAATTGGTTCCCCCGCTTTACTATAACACTTGCTTATTTGACAGCGAAAATTCTGCCTAGAGCAATGTCAACATGGCAATTGCTGTTATGTAGAGTGAGTTTAATTCATTTGTTGTCAATTCCATTCGTTCGTCCATTCATTCAATTGTATTTTTGTTGCAGTAGTTGGCGCATTGTTTCGTAGTTCACTGTCTCGTGAAAATGATGGTATGCGCATGCCCTTCAGATGAAATTCATGACTACTATTATTAGTTAACTCAATTGACAGCTTCGTTACTATACATGGTTATATTGTTCTGTGTTCCATCTGCCCAAATATATTGGGGTATTATTGATCGAATGCTTTAAAATGTCCAATTGGCATTCACAAACTTTTCGATAAAAACTAAAAGATACAGCTCGCTCTTTTAGTAAATGACTTGAATGAGTCGAAACGAGCCTAGTCTCGACTGAATTGACGGCAGTGAATGGGATGTTGGAATAAGTAAAGACCGCCCCCATCACCACCCCCCCTTTCCCTCACCTCTCCCTCACCTCTCCCTCATCTCTCCCTCATCTCCCCCCCTCCCCTTTTTCCTCACACCCTCCTCCATCACATCCAACTGTGTTACTCGTAACATAAAGTATAAATGGTTTCATTGTTGTTATTGTTATTGTGATGGATAATTATTGGCAGATGCATCACTTAAATTCAGCTCAATTAGTCACTTAAATGTTATCCGACACATCTACATCAACCAAAACAATACGCCGCAAGAACTAGACAATTATTAATATGTTATTAAATTAACAATTGTACTTAATAATTGTAACAATTGTTGACAGTGTTTATTAAAGCAGTTAACGAATATTCGTTTACTATCAATCAATCTCTATCATCACTCGATCAATTCATTCATCTGAGGCGCGCAACCTTTTCATGCACTCCGCTTGGACGAACATACACCCAACAAGCAGATGACCGGTTTTTTTGACTGCTTCTCGACCAACCGTCAACGGATTAATCGCCACCTGCAGGTATTATAAATATCGATCGACCACGATATACTGTATATTGATAGTATTTATTACACACTGGCACTAGTAGGTACTAGCAGTATATACAACATACATACATACATACATATATGTATGCATGTACATTACTCGTATTGGCGTTGTATAATGATTGCAAATAATACGTAGTTGTTTACTTTATTATTGCTGCTTATTATTGCTTATTGACCACACCCCATTTTCTTTTCCGATAATACACGACAAGGTGTCTCGTGAATTGTGTGTAATTGTGTGTGTAACATGGCAAGAATGTGATTTTTTAAAGTTCTTCTCGCGAGGAAAAAACTTGTTGTCTGTCAACAAATTCCAACTAGCCACACGAAAAAAAAAATTAATAATTTAACTTTGTACAATGAATCGGAAGCACAAATGACCTGCCTTTGCTCCATAGTATAATAGATATATTGTCGTTTCTTATTCTTGGGACTTTTGTGTCTCGCAAAGCATGGCGGTTGAACCACGCATGTGATATTACGATTTTGTATTACTAGGTAAGGGTGGTGGAGTGAATGGATGCATACCACCACATTGATATATTTAGATTCTTATTATAACCGGAAGGGCAACAACAACAACAGCAACAACAACAACAACTTCTCAAGCCATTCGAGTTTTACTTCTTTTAGTTCATACAGTGTATAATATCATTGGAGACTGTACATGTCCCCAATTGCACACAAACGTTAAACTCATCATGGTTGCACCGCAAAACTCTCAAATGAACGATCGTGCTTCACATTCTCGTACGCAATTCCTACTCGTTTGGCTTTTTGTCTTGTTGATCAGGGGGGCGGGACCGAAAATCGATATTTTCAGCTCTTTTTTTTTTTTTTTTTTTTTGTTTGCTAAATTCGTTATGAACACATGAAATTCAAACGCTTACCGATTATTATAGATTTTAGGGCTGCTCTTTTCTTTTTATTTTCTTTTCTTGAGAAAGGCCAAGTGTAATCACGATAAACTTGGCTAAATAAAAAAGAGAGCTTAACCAGTCAACGGAAGGAGAAAACCGTTTCTTTTACAAGATTCCTATGCCATTACATTGAATACGTCATAATTGACTTGACACTTTAAACCTGTTCCTGGTCACAAATCAGACAGTGAGTGTGACATTACGAATTTTTGAACCGGGTTTCGGTGAAATCAAGGGAATACCAAACATTATTGAATGGAAAAACGTGACTTTGGAACAACATATCAGAAATGTTTGTTTGGAAAGGTGGGATGGAAGCTTTCCTTACCATATGCACTTTATTTACACGCGACTTTTGTCTGTGAAGGGGAAAGTGGACTTGTCTTATTTGTTCTGCACACAGATTGCACGCTTTGAGTGTAAACCGTATGATGGAGACGTGTGTAGAAAATCAGGTTTTGCACATGTTGATATGTTTTTAATAAACGCTTGTCTGTAACTCGGCAAATTACACGCTACAATTGGTCAGTCTCTGAGAGGTATCGGGGATGATTCTCCAAAGAACTATAATAACAACACATCTTTACTGCAATAGTAATATTAAGATGTTTCCCATCAATAGAAAGATTGTCTCAATTTTGGGGAAAAAACATTGCACAAGTGTAGAATCAACATGACATATGACAGTCTTACTTACAAGGTGTGCTACAATGAAACCCTCAAACTGAACAATTTACACATACTAATACTGGGGGATCAACATGATTGATGAGAAGAATAGTCAATCTCAACTTGTTTTAAAAAGGCTTTTGTCAATGTTACAATAGCTTAATCGTGACTCAATAGATTGAATGTGATAACTTTCTTTATCTGATTACAACCGATAAATCACGCGTACGTTGTCAGGACAATGGATCTTCAACACGTAGAAGCAAAATATAACACATTTTGAAAATACCATAAGGCTGATTATTAGTTTTTTCTTCAATTTAAGTTTGTTATCCAGAATGCTATTCAGAAAATATTGTTTATTGGACAAGAGTCTGCCTTGATTAATTTATGTAAAAATCAGAGCGGTATTAACAATTATTGCTAGCAAAAATGTCGAAAATTGATACTAGTAAAGAAAATGGAGATGTTCATGTCATTTTAATCTGGTTGCGACTGTGTCCAAAGTCGCCACATTTCAAATCAAGGCTCATGACTATGGCCTTTGTTGTACTGTCATTTAACGATCACGAACAAATTGATCGTGATTTCTTTAATATTAATTTTGAGGCAGGGTGGGAAAAGACAAGCATATCTAATGACGCCTGCGACGGTCTGTTTGCTGCATGCCCCATTTCCCCACTTTCAATACATCAGATGAATGTAATCATCGAAAGGTGAATCAAACTCGCCAACCCGCGCCTGAAAGTTGCTAACGAGTCCTTTTTTCCCATATATGTATTAAAATTTAGTTTATTAATGACGTAACATACACATTTGCATACTACTGCAAGATAAATGTCATTTCGAATACCAAGTTGCTCGATCATTCGCTTGCATATACAGTACGTCATGTATCATTTTTCGTTGTGAAAATAGAACAAAGACTGTCAAGCGACTTACTTGGTCTCCGCAACGTTCAAACAGCTTGTCTCATTTAAAAAAAAAAGTCTCTCCATGCACTCTAAGCTAATACTTGATTAACGTCATGCATAAGCAGGTAACACGGATCCTCTACTCCACAGCCAAAATTCAGGGGTTTTAGCTTACCTTTTTTTCCCGTCGATTGTCGTTTGTTTGTTTCCTTTACTACCGCGAAAATTTTTTTTCGCTTTCACAATCTTTATTATCTAGAATGGGCGAATGAAATCTAATAATAACTAGACTGAGTATATACTTTATGACTCGCGCAATTATTGCAAGTAATAAAGTGTCAGGACTGTTGGTTTGAGTTGAATGTTGCCAATTTTCAATGTTTGTTATCAATGAGTATCAATTATAAAGATGAAAGAATCTCACTTTTTAATTCGTATCGCCATTTCTCTCTACTAAAACATCGCCATCTATATGAATATCGAGAAGATTGATCAAACAACATCACGCTTTGCATGAACAGAAGCAACTATAAGTTTGCTGTCAAAAAAAAAGAAGCATTTATTCGCTCAGCCTACAAACAGCGACTTTTTTTTTCTCCAGCAAAGATGTCCAATTATGGATAGGACGTTCGAGTTCAGAATAGTGTAAGATTACACACCTAAAGAACCTCATATTCTGGCACCGTCAACGTCAGCGTCAACAATCGCAAAGCAGGGGTATTTTTCACCAACAATCGTATACTTCAACCATCGCGAATCGGATTTAATCTACGCTTCGTGTGTGTCGAGTACAAGTCTCTGCTGTTAGAAGCATTATTATTACATTGACGGCTGCATTTGTATTGAGATTAGAAACTGCTCTCGAGTCTTACAATCACTAATCAAAGACGCAATACGTTCAAGAATTTTTTGGACAGTGACAATCATGTAGTGACCGCGCAAATACGTACTCTGGATATAGACCAATAAATTATGTCAAACGATTATTTCTGGAGGAACTCTAGCCCGTCTTTTAGATCATTACTCATATGTGCTGGTCAGCTTATACCAAGCGCCGAAATGGTTTTTCTGATGCTTGACGGCAACTAATAGTGGGTCGCTCTGTAATAACGATCAAGTGAAGCATTAATTGACAGTTAGAAAAAAGAGAGTATATGATGGGAAAAGAAAATTGCTTCTTTTTCAAATAGACGTTTGTTGAAATATTATATACTTGATATGGTTTGGTCCTTATAAACAAAGTTGACCGCTCTCTGAAACAGATAACAGAATTTTAATGTAAAAAACACCAACTGATATCACAGTATTATTCCGAAAGAAATGAAAAGAAAATAAACGAATGAATTATATTAATACGAAACAGCTCACTCTTTTACCAATCAGTAACCGCATCAACAGTCGTTTGTCATTCCAGTCGATTGTTCATTTTTAGCACTTTATTGATTTTTGTCGGAGGAGTGTTTATATGTATATAGTTATATATGATGGTTGATGTAATACTATGCTCGATCAATGCTGTCAAAGATAAAGTGGAAATTTCATAACAATTCAATAAATCACTTGATGGAAATTATTACAAAATACAACGGACGAACAAGTAAATGAATCGCGAAGAAAAATAAAAGAGAAAACAAACAGATCACCAAGAAAAAGAGTGTCCATCACATGTAATTAACAGAACAAATAGCACTCTTCGTCTATTCACGCTCTCTCTCTCACTCACTCACACTCACACACACACTCTCACACACTCACACGCACACACTCTCTCTCACACGCACACACACAAACTCTTTCACCTTATCTTCATCCTTCTTCTACCACTATCATACACGCTTCATCCAGAATAAGCATTTCCGCCAGAATGACTATGAGGATGTCCACCAGCGACGGCGTGCGGCGACGTAGGTCCTCCCATTCCAGGTGCGCCGAGTCCGGGTGCACCCAAACCAGGTGCAGCCGATCCGTGTCCTGCCTGTGCATTATATCCGTACCCACCGTAATATCCATATGGTTCATAATTAGCATTACCCCCATAATAAGTATCCCATGCAGCATTAGCATGTTGTGTTTGAGCAGCTACTGCTGCATTGCCATCGAGTGATGCAATGGACTGAGGTGGAGCTGTCATGCCCGGCGGAAGATCATATCCAGTTTCTGATCCTGGAGTAGGATAGTGATGAGCGGCATGATTACTGAAGTAACCATAAGTATTATAACTATAAGTTGACGGAATACTATAGGCAACTGCTGCTGCAGCGGCGGCAGCATGATACGAATTGGCTCCCTGATCCGGTGCCCTGTCTTTACCCCAAGAACACTGTTGGTCGCAGAGACCAAAATGCAATGTCGGCAAATCAGCAAATAATGGTTAATTGGATAGCAAGAATATCGATGATGGTTAGTTACCTTGATGATTCTACCATTGATTTGGGTATTTTGCAAATTGACAATTGCACGAGCGGCTGCATCATGCGTATCTAATCTGTGATTATCGAACATGAGTGAGTTCCGAAGTCCCGCGTCAATTATATAATTAACCAGTAAGAATAGCTGAGCTTACTTCACAAAAGCAAACCCCCGATCTGCCTGCATGCGAATCTCGATAATAAATCCATATGGTTGAAAGTATGGCATCAAGTGTTCCTCTATTGAAAAATGTTACTAATGGTCAATCGTCGCCATACGAAAAAGAATCACGCATTACCCCACCGTGGTTATTATTCGCATCAGTATCATTCTATTATCCTTTGCTTGTTCTACTACCTATTTATAACTACTATAACACATGTCTTATTTGCCAATCCACCTTTTCTTCACCCCGGATATTAATGTTTCCGCTCTAACAATACTTACGTGTAGTAAATGGTGGCAAGTTTCCTACATATACGGTGCTATTGTACTGAGGTGTCTGTGCGACAACAATGTCGTAAGAAAGTTGAGGTGCTTGCGGAGTATTTCCTGTCAACGTGCGCATGATCACGCGGAAAATCAACAAATGACAGAAATATGCAAAGCAAAATTTGAACCTATAGGTACCTTGTCGATCAGACGTATTGCTACCCGGACCTGGCTGGCCTTTCTGATTTGCCCAGTTGCATCGAATAGCACGACTACCTAACCATTCGCCTGTATAAAATTTGCATGAAAAAACAATGTGTGGTAAAATAAGAAATTAGATGTGATCTCTTTCATACACACTCTTCATCCACATTTCGCGCTCTTGACTCTGATCAACTAAACCATATCTAATGTAAATCTCACCGTTCATGGTTGCAATTGCTTGCTCAGCGTCCTGAGAATAGTGTATTGGCAGTGTAAACATGGTATGTACAAATGATTACGTCCAAAAGACCAGCACTTACAGTCTTGTCACGAAAAGCCACGAACCCATATCCTCGAGATTTCCCTGAATTAACATCCCACATAACACGAGCATCCCTATCAAACAGCCAAATCATAAGTGTTACTACCAATAGAATTCTATGTAAAAACAAGACACAGATTAAATGTGGATTTGTCAATCTAGACTTACGACATGCTTCCGAATGCGCTAAACGCCTTTGCTAGTACTTCATCGTTTACCTCTGGACTCAAGTCGCCAACAAAAATGTGATAGTGATCTATATAAAAAACAGTGAGAAAAAGTACACCTTATAAAACGCAAAATTCTACAGGCTATATGTCTGTAAGAGTACTTGATGTGTCTTCTTTATGTTGTTGTTGCCCTTGGAAAGCCCAATTAACTTTGATTTCCTAACCAGTATCACAAAGCAAAAGTCAATATGATATGTCCATCACATGTACAAGCCCCCATGCAAATCGTGTGTTCACTGCTCACCATGTCATACACCCTTCTCCCATTCAATGTCTGTAAAGCTTGTTCAGCAGAGCGATGATCATTAAATTCAACAAACCCGTAATTCAAGCCACCGTGTTGATACTGAATTCATAAAAAACAATAAAGAAAAATCAAGATGGTTAGTAAGAATCATGATTGGTTTATAGGAAGAAATTATAGATTCGTCTCATTTATTATCTAATATTATATATAAGAGAAGACCCAATCCATATCAAAATATTCTACCGCTCCTCTGCTCTAATCTACAAAACACATCACAGTGACAATCAATAGTGAATGTCTACAAAAGCATGCCCGGTCCTCAGTAAACAACAAAATCAGAAAAAAAGAGAGAAATAAAGAAAGTATTGATCATAAAGAGAGATTTTCGACGAGATCGACAGAGATCGAGAGACAGAGAAGACAGAAAGATAGATAGTGATGTGAAGATAAAGGAATTCCAACCTTTGAGCTGCGACATAAAGATTTTATGGATTCGCAACTCGAGAGAGAGACGTTCCAGTGTAGAAGCCCACAAGCCCAAGTATTCACGGTTTTG